TTAACGTTGTACTTAGATATCAAGGTTGCAGGATCAATTTAAAAAAATAATAATAAAAGCGCAGGCATTTACGTCGTGTGTTTAGTCGAAACAACAGCACAATCGATAATCAAGACCGAGAGGGTTTGAGAAGGACTCACTGCCCAAACACGTCGAAATGAACTGAAGCATCAGAAGGAAATCTCGAGTGAGCCGCACAACACAGGTCGACTCGAATGATGGATTATGTTTTGTCATGCAACACCAACTACAATGCAACAGGCAAGCACCAATGCAACACACTACACTACTCGACCACACCACTAATGCTAGAGAAAACAAGCCTTCATTTCTGGCACTCTGTCGAATTTCACACATTTACGATCATCAAACACATCACAGGCTATCCACATTTGACATAATTACAACACATGCGAGATAGATGAACATGTAACGGACTGCTTTGATGAAAAACAGACGGCAGTTTGCTGGGTTACCTGATACTACCAGGGCTTCGTTCGGTCCTACCGTGTAGCAATTCCCCATTTTCCTTTCTGGACGCCTTTAAAAAGCGGCTAAAGACCTAATGTTATTTCCCTTATTCGAGGACGACGGAACAGCGTAATAAAACTAGCAGATATGAGGGCACTCAATGCAGTCGTGCGTACACCATAGTCAAGATTTCTGCTCGCCTCGTATGAATGCAGCACCGCCCTTTCAGAGATATGACGACGACTGAACCAGATAAACACACACCCGCACTCAATCTGCGCCGTTCTTAAGGCTTCCGACAGAGGGCGCCATACTGCTTTAAATCAACCCACATTCCAGAGATACTACAGTTTTCTAATGTAAATATGTATATAATAAATGTAAAAATAAATATATTTTCCTATATTTTAGCCTGATTATGTATAATACGTTACTATATAAAATACTATTTTTGACCAGCATAAACTTAACAAAACAAGTCGAACTTCATTCAATGTTCAGATTTTTTTCTAGGAATGTATGCAAATAAGCACATTCAATATTTGCATGTTTGTACAAAACATTTTATTAAACTTGTTTTCCCGCTCTGCACGCGACATTGTGATTTTTTATATTTTCTGTTAAATCACAAACATACTATCTATGACCCAACCCCTTGTGCTCTACTCCTAAATGCAACCTTCACAGAAACAAGTGCCAATCATTAGAGCATGTTCTGGCCAATGTATAGGATGTCCTCTCTATTGGTTCATTTTCATATTTCACTACATAAGTGAGGACAATTGACACACACACACACACACACACACACACACACACACACACACACACACACACACACACACACACACACACACACACACACACACACACACACACACACACACACACACACACACACACACAGAGAGAGAGAGAGAGAGAAATAAAAATCACACTGATGATCATTGCACTATGCATTGAAAATGAATGGGAAACTCTCACAAGCAGTTTTCAAAGTTTAATTTTTCAATAAAAAACACAAATCCCACTGATAATTTAAAAATAGAGTCAAATTAAGCTTACACATCATTTTAACTTACAGTTAATTACAGTAATTTTAGTTGAATCCCTTAAAAAAATGAGTTTAAATATGGTTATCTTAGCATAAAATATAGAATCTTATGACTTATAATGTTAACAGTGCATAAATTTAAAACATTTATTTGACAAAGTACCACACCAATGTGAAGCAATACTCGCATTCATACATGCAAACATTCACACAGGCTTGTAGCCAGGGTGGGTTCAGGTGGTTCGGAAGACCTACACTTCGCTGACAAAGATCCTGAATTTGTCCCATGAGCTTATTTGTCTTATTTTGACTGCTATGTCATCATGGTGAACATAACACATCGAAAAAGGCTTCAAGACAAAGCAGAATCCTCTGTAAGCTGTTGCTTCGGTGTGACTTGTGGTGCTAATCAGTTTTGGCCAATGCCATCTATTATTTTTCATGAGTCCAACATCCAGCTGTGCAAAAAAAAAACAAAACAAACATATAATCTGACCTCAGTCAAGTCATCTTTCGCTAATGTATTGTTTTTAAATAGAGAAAACATTTTACAAGTAACTTTTATTCTAAATCTTGGACCTTATTCTTAAAGCAAAAAATTACCAATAAAAAGACATGAATACTATTTCGGCTTAACAAGCCAAGCTGACAAGCTAATTCAGAATAGTGCTTAAAGTGCAAATAAAATGCAGCATTTTAATTTTATAATTCAATAGAAAATGAGGCATATAATTGCAAAAATTGTCACCTTTTGAGAAAAAAAAAACGTTTCACCAGACTGGCTATGGAGCTGACACAGCAACTGCAACAGACAGCTTGTTACTGGTGTTACTGGTGGAGTTGAGATATTGCAAATATTTGGAGGTCTTTGACAATTCAGGCATGGGCTGAAAGCGGAGACAATTGACTCCACAACCCAGCAGGTGGGAATGCGGGAAAAACCAGCTCCTGCTACATTTACATCTGAATCTGCTGAAACTCGACTTCAACCACCCCAACTCACGCATATGGTAATTTCAATGTTTGAATGTTCTAAATTAACCAAAGTGACTTTATCTATCATGTTTGATATCATTTGAAATGTCTCAGTGCGACTGGTACAATGGTCTCATTCTCTCAGAAACAGACCTAATCAAAACAATAAATATATAACTTCAGGCATCTTTTGAACCACTGTAAAGGGTGTGACTTTTCCACAGGCACCACTAAATGTGAATGCCTTTTGTTATGCACACACCCCTTTCCTTGAAGGAATTCTTGGATTACTTAAGGTAAGGTTTGAGAAAGGCTCAGGGCGATTCTGCTTAACCAGATCAGCCCGTAGCATGGAGCTTACGCTCTACGTTATGTATAATTTGAAGTCAGGTATGCATCTTTTCATCTTGAATTTATCTTTAATAATTTGATGTTTAGTATTGATCATTTATGAATTGACTGATTAAATTGGCATAATACATTTACCTGACTAATAAATTGTAATGTTTGACCATATTTTGCTCACTCTGTAATTATTAAGTCAAGTTGATTACGCTGTATCCTTGTTTCCGCACGTCTTGCGTCAGGTCAGTAGACGGACTAAAATCCAGTTGAGATGGAGAATTGGGCACACTAATTGTGTTTTAGGGATCCGACTGACTCTTGATATTGATTCAAGTGTACTTAGGTGGAAAGGGCGTTAACTTCCGTCTAGGTCAACAAGTTGTTGCATGACTAACCTAGATTGGGTGCCCGACCTTTGTTTGAAGGTAATATTATTCTAAATTAAGTTCATATGGGAAACCATGGGCTTGGTGAAAACCAAAGTTACTATAGAGTCCAGTAGTCGGGTACATTTATATTAATGCCCTAACCTCTAATTAGAAATGAAATAGTCTTAACTCAAAGGTGTACACCTAAGCGGGACTAACTAAAATATTTTAGAACGAGCGCGCTGGTAGCGGCCATCTAAAGTATTAGTCAATTACCTCTGTTTAATATTCAAGACTGACCAGAGTGTGACCGTGAGGGACGCCCTCGGCCGAGGCGATTTCTCTGAGCGACATGAGCACCCGAATGAACGAATGTAATAGTTACTAGTGAAGACAGAAGGTTCAAACATTTATCTAAATTATATATTGATACAACCTTCTTAATGTTTTATAATTGGAGTCAGATAAAACGAGGATAAATATATTAATATTCTAAACCACCTCATACTAAAATTGGAGTCAGATATGAGTTAAGTTTAATATAATTCAACATTGTGCACTGGAAAGACCGAACATGCAATGAACCTTCATCCACCATTGGACAACGTCATTGGACCAACTGGATGGACCTTACACTGGCAATTAAAATCCTACAGACTGATGACACTCATATTAAAACACTACAAACTTTGTCAAAATACTAGTTTTATTGAATTTTCAAAATAATGTTTAGTTTTGTATTTCCCAACAATACCACATTTGATCACATCAAGAAGAAATAATGGATTTTTCAGCCTCTGCTGGACATATATGGTCATCACATTTATTACATTATCCCCACAAACGGTGTATTTGAGTAGTTATGTGGTCAACATGTACAGCCTGAGCGTAAATATTAAGAAGTAAACAACAAAAAGTAGTAAACAACAACAACAACAACAACAGAAATGATCATGTATATCATTATAAATGTATATTTCGTATTCTGTAAAAAGCTGGGGTCCAAATGTGTGATCTGGGAATGAAGACAACATGAGAGCTAATGATTATTTGATTATGTTAGCAGAATAGTTCTAGAACTTGATAGAAGTTGTAGAAGTTGCTAGTTGGAACTTTAGAGTCAACCTTGCCAAATATTATTCACTGAAATTCCAGAGCAGAAACACAACACCAACATGCATATAAAATCATCTTGAATGTTCTTATCTGATCTGTTTGATGCATCTGATATTTTCTTGGCTTTGTATATAATTTTTTTAATCTTGCTGTAAAAATCAGTGAAAGGCAGTGACATCTTCACCTTCCACACAGAGCTTTACAAAATATATTCACAGATTTAAAACAGAAAAAAGCAAAACTACAATAAACATACTAATATAATACATATTAAATGAATGATATAATTATTATATAACAGTAATTAGACTGAAAACTCCACAGCACTATTCAGTTATTCAAATGCATGCTGGTAGAATTAACATTTACAATTTCAAGTGAATGCTCTTCACCATCGTCATGCCACTTAAACCTGTATTGGACTCTTTCTCTGTATAGTTATATAATTAAATTAAATAATAAATAAACACTTTATATTCTCAGGGGTTTGCACCTTTGCTTCATATAACAACATTTGAATATTCACTAAATATTCTTCTAAATATTGTTCACATTGTAAATATGGAAAACAATTTGAAAATGTAACAAAATGTTCAAAATGTAATGTTAAGAAATTGAATATAATTCTTGCACACTGGATAATTATACAACACACTCTTTTTAATGCTTGCTTTTTATTTTATTTTGCATTGTTTACTACACAGAATAAGAAAAAAATCACAGTCACAAATGCTTTACTTGCTATGACATTACATATGACACCATAATGCATATTTTGTGTTACATAAAAATTACCAACACATATCAATTATCATGTTTATTAGATAAAGAAGATGCATTTAGACATCCTAAAATAAAAAAAGTCAAAGAAAAAGATATCTGCTATAGTTTAATATTGCATGGGCATATCATTGTGTTTTTTACTTTTAAAAACATCAGGATTATTGTTGTAGTCTGTTACTTCTGCAGGGTCCTGTAAACAATCAGAAACAGCTGATCATGAGTGTCTTTACAAACGCATAAACAAAATATAGGCTTAATAATATTGGGTTACACTAACCTCTTTTCAAGAGCCTTCATGAGGTATTTCTGTGTGAATTTAGAATCTGGACTTAAACATTTCGGCTCTGCACCATTTTTCAGAGTCACACTACACAAGGTAGAAAAACAAAATAATAGTAAAAAAGACAGATTGCTGCATGTTTTAGTTATACTGCATGAAGAGTTGTCTGCAAATCAATCCAACTTTTCAGTGCACAGTATAAAAACACAATTATAAATGAAGTTATCTATTTTTGCATACGATATAAACACTTCAAATTTAAACACAAATGTACAGTATAGAAGAAATCTTATTTTTACTTACACAATCTCCAGGTTTCCACAAGAAGGGGTCGGTGGTATGATATCAACCTTCTCAATCAGTTTTGGAGAAACCATATTTACACCTTTGTCAGCACAGAGACACCTGCTCCTTGGAGCTCTCGCCTGGCCTATGAAATCAACACAATTTATCAATTATACACTGTAAAACAAAGTCTAATCTATTTAAAATTGTAAGACAACTTTTTTAGTTGATTGAACTTAAATCGAGTCTAGTGCAGTACTTGAGGTAAAATTTGAGTCAACTCACACCTTACAATTGTAAGTTTGTTTTGCAGTGTAGCTACCATGCCATGCTAATATAGTTTCAAAATATTAATATTAAAAAAACTAGATTCTCCAGAATTTAGAATTTTAGACTTTCTCCATAAAAAACTCACCTTCCACTTTTATCACAAGCAGGTAGCCTAGAAGAACCACAGCTGCCAAGGTTTTCATCTTGTGCTTTTACCTTCTTAATGACTGAGTAATAAAGTGAGGGATTGCTTGTTTCATGTGAGTTTTTATTTTCTTAAAAGGGTATTTCCCTCCCTGAAAATTGGTCAGTTTCGACAGTCCAGCAACTGTACTTATCATTTCTCAGAAACAGTTTCTTTTCAAAATACTGCATGCAGCAGTTAATTGCCTCATTTACAGAAATGATGCAATTAAAAAAAAGTATAATTATTGTGACAATATTTGACTGTTAATCATTATTGCAATAATACAGTTTTTTTTTGTTATTGTCTCGTTTCCTTAAATAGGCTATCAGTATATGCTCAGCAGACAATGGCTGTTTGGAATAAAAATTGTGTAACATTTTTCTCCACACTGTAAACACTGTACTGTAGATATTAATAGTAGAGCATTTTTTGTGAATCGTTATTTCAGTGCTACTCCAGTAAAATGTCAATTGAGTCAAGCTAAAGCTTTTTATATTATACTATATTTCAGAAAAAAAATTCTATTGCCTTTATATAATGGTAAATAGTGATGCCATTGTAAATGAGTTAGTCGAACAGGTTAGTTCAAAAAGGCCAGATAATGGTCTCGATATTGTTTGCGTTATTTAAACATTTCACATTTGCACTGAATCATCTTATGAGATAGAAAACAAAATGTCAAAAAGTATAACATATAGCATACAACTTCTATCTATATACTGAGGACAATATGCAGTTGAAGTCAGAATTATTAGCCTCCCGTTGATTTTTTTTTTCTTTTTTAAACATTTCCCAAATTATGTTTAACAGAGCAAGGAAATTTCTGTTTAACGGAGGGAAGATTTCTTCAACACATTTCTAAACATAATAGTTTTAATAACTCATCTTTAATAACTGATTTATTTTATTTTTGCCATGATGAAAGTAAATAATATTTGACTAGATATTTTTTAAGACACTTCTATACAGCTTAATGTGATATTTAAAGGCTTAAGTAGGTTAATTAGGTTAACTAGGCAGGTTAGGGTAATTAGGCAAGTTATTGTAACAAAGGCTTGTTCTGTAGACTATATATATAAAAATGTGTGTGTGTGTATAAATATATATTTATATACATATATACATATATACATATATATATATATATATATATATATATATATATATATATATATATATATATATATATATATATATATATAGTTTATAGGGGCTAATAATTTTGAACTTAAAATGGTCTTTAAAAAATTAAAGACAGCTTTTATAGCCAAAATAAAACAATGACTTTCTCCAGACGAAAAAGTATTATCAGACATACTGTAAACATTTGTTAAACATTTAGGAAATATTTTAAAAAGAAAGAAAAAAAATCAAAGGGTGGCTAAAAATTCTGATTTCAACTATATATCCAAAGCAATAAACAACAATAAAAACAAAAAACTTGCTCATAATCCAGCCAACACTCAACCTAATTACATAATTAATTGTACCCATTTTATGACTGATTTAATTGTAAGGTTTACAACTGAAGTTTACCGTCATCAGTATATTATCTATACGATGAATAAGTTGGACATTTCCAAACTTTTTTGCAGCATAATGTGTCTGTAATTAACTTCAGTGTATTGTGTCTGAAAGTGTACATGCACTATTGAGTAAACTGCGGTGTTGGTCTGAATATTAGCCTCGTGCGTTGGCTGAACCACAAACCAGTACACAGACCAGCGCTACAGTTGGTCAGCGGTTAGTAGCTTTCACTATCATTTAATTTAAATTGCCCAATTTATTTTAAATGTCTCTATTACTGAAAGTCATGTTGTGATTTATTGAATTCTGGAAATGGGACTGGTATAATTTTTAACACACTTTTTTCCCTCCATGGTACATGTCAAAACAGCACAAATAGTATTGGAGCCTGTAATTAACACTAATTTCTGTAGTCCTCTTTGCTCATTATATTCTGACTAATATTTTCATCAATTAACTATAAAAAATACAGTAAGCATATTTCTCAAGACACTTATTTGTTTAAAGTCTTTATTATATTTGCAAGAGGCAGCTAGAAAAAAACATGAAAAGGCAAAAATAAAAATTCTGTCATCATTTACTCAGCCTTTACTTGTTTCAAATCTGTCTGACTTTCTTTCGTTGAACATAAAAGCAGATATTTAGGACAAAGCTAGACACTTGTAACCACTGACTTAGTTGTTTTTCTTTTGGAACTTTTTTTCTTTTTTATGGAAGTTACAGGTTTTCAGATTTCCTTAAAATATCTGTTTTTATATTTAACAGAAGAAAGAAACTCATAAGAACCACTTAAGTATAAATGAATAGGGAGTAAAAATGTATTTTTGGGTAAACTATCCCTTTAAGTGAGAGTGTTTTTAAGCAGATGTACAGTATTTGGTATTTGGTTTTAGTTCCTCAAACTGGGAGGTGGTTTGTATTTTTGATTTAAAAATGCATTGGAATTTGATTTGTTCGACATTAAAATATGCATCATATAGACTTATTTAAGTTTGAGCTGGATTAGGTGTGTTCAGTTGAGGTATAGGAAATCACCTTTTCTTTTCTACGCCCCATGATGTTAGAATGAATTACCATGATTATAATAAATTAAACAATTATAACAAATTACTATCAGCAGACCATGAATGCCCCCAAAACTTTAGATGAGATGCAGTAGTAAAGACATATGTTGAATATTGCTGCACTGTAGGGAATTTAAAGAAAAAAGAAATCTGAAGAAACCAAACACAATGAACTCAATAGTGCGTTGACCACAGATTTGCTTGTGATAATATCATGTTAAAATACCAAGCAGTAAAATACAATGTGCTTTTTTATGTAAGATAAAATAAATAAAGCACAAAGCCAAACATTGCTCTCACTCAGCTTTCACTTGATGTAATATTTGTATGCAACCTTAATGATTTTGAATACAGAGTTTTTTTTATTTGAAACCCATTATTTAAAACACACTAGTCACATGCGGGAAAAGGTGGATATTTTTAGACACTCCTGAACTAAATGACTATAACTGCTTTTATTAATGTCAAACTAATGATCGTTAATAAAGAAATCAAATCTCCTTTGATATTTTCTGGCCCTCTATCATTATGTAAGTTTCAGTACTCAAAACTTCCCCTTTTAGTTTAAAACAGCTTTCATTACCAATCAGCCAAAGTGACTCCTTTTGAAATTAATTTGATTACGCAATAATGTGATGAAAAACCTCTTCTGCAGAAGTTCAATGCCTAATTCATAAGTCGAAAACAGTTGCATTGGTTTCCTTCAGATCTCATAGGAATTAGTCAGTTTATTTTTAATAAAGTTCCTGATTGCATCAGAAAGAAACTTTACTTTAGTTTATTTTATTGCAGATTTCTTTCAAACAATTTACTACAGACTTTACACATGGAGAGAGAATGAAACAAAAATATGACGTAACTACTTTAGAACATAATACTGCAAATGTGAGTGATAATGTTTTGTCTTGTTACTTGTGTCACTATTGTGCATTGCAGATACTTTATATGGACTATTTGTAAGGTTTTCGTTTCTATACAAGAACCTGAATGTATTTACCATTATACCAAGACTATCAATTGTTTCACAGGCAAATGTTTTGTGTAGCAGACATATGCATCACCATATGGAGCATAAGAACAGGACGTGTGTTTGGATATAACTTTTTTTGACCACACTTCTTTATTATTGTTCATTTATTCGTTTGCTGGAAAACTGAATGTAGAAATAGTTTTGAAACAAATCTTTGCGCTTAAACAAAATTAAATATGTAGGCTAATGGATGTCTTCAGTGGAGTAAGTTTCCACCGTTTCCTTATCTACTAATGTAAAGGAGTAAAGTGGAAAAGTAAAGAGAAAGTAAAGAGGCTGAAAAGAAGAGGCTCATTCTTTATCCTTGCGCTGCAGATGGTCTGTTTAACTGTTTTCTCACTAGTGAAGCATTAAGTTTTTCCTCTTATAAAGTCTGCCATGTAATATTACAAATGTGCCATGGCACAACACAACTGACTCTTAATGGGAGATGAGACTCTGATTTGTTTAATGTACGTTATGCTCCAAACACACCCTTAACTCATTAAGTGAATAAGCACAGCTCTGTTAGACCATGTGCCAGGGCACAGACCATATTTTTCTGTCTTTTAAAACAGCAAAAGTGGATTCAGACATGCCCTTAATGATTTTGTGCCATGCGCTTTAGACTTTGCACCTAGATCATTAAAATAGAGCCCTAAGACTAAATTTCACTGTCAGTGTCTTTGGCTGAACTTTGAAGTTTTCTTTTTCTTTCATGAATTACACTCTTGAGAGGGGGTTTAAAACTTACTCGAATATGCAAAACTATTGTGGGAATTTGCTTGTTAATCTTGAATATTACATCATGTATGCATTGTAAAGAGAGATCAAAACAGGAGAGTTCAACTCACTTAAAATGTATGTTGAAATACTGTTTACAATAGTAATAATCATGAATGCATGATGCTCACAGAGCTGTTGTTTACTATGAACATAGTTTTAATTACAGTTTGGAATCGTAGAATGCAAGAACAATTATGAAATGGGAGAGAACACATCATTTGTAGATAGAAAAGCTTTATTTGACACATTTTTTTTTTTTTACAAAAATACTGTAATTTAGCAAACTATTTAAAAAACTGTACATATGACACATTGTTCAGTTATTTGTTTTTAGAGAACTTGAATTTTCAAAACTCAGTAGTCAGGAAATCAGCTGATGCATTAGCAAACATTTTAAAGATTTTGAAGATTACTTAAGTAAAACACAATTGAATTTGGCAGTGTATAAATACAGCAGATATGTCAGGAATCATTTAAAGGCAGTCGGTGCTGATGTTGATGAAGTCATGGAGCTCTTCACTGTGCCAGTTGTTGTACTGTGTGGCACAGACTGCTGCATCCTGCAAACACAAGAAACATTTCATTTAATAACTATTTTAGTTTGGGGGTCCTGTTAAATTGCCTGTTTTGTTTGTGGTGAATATATTTGTGAAGCAGACATAAATATACATAAGCAGAAATTCTCACCTTTTCCCAATAGCCTTTAAGACAACATTTTGGGTGAATTTTGAGTCTGGATTCAAGCATTTCTGTCCTGCACCGTTTTTCAGAGTCACACTGTGAAAGATCAAAAGAGATGCAGATATTACATGAAGCTGATAAACTTCATTTAAAATAATTTTTAAAAACTGTATAGAAAAGTTATGCCATATGCTTACACAATCTCATTTTTGTTGCAAGATGGACTCGGAGGGAAGATTTCCACCTTCTCAATATTCTTCAATAAAACCATGTTTATGCCTTTGTCAGCACAGAAGCACCTGGCTCTTGAAGTGTTGTCTTGACCTGGAAATGATATATATATATTTAATGTTTCATATTTAATTTAACTTAAAAAACCTCAGCATGAGAAAAGATACATGAGCTGAATGATATTGATGCGTTTCTGAAACTCACCGTTCACCTTTCCAGCGATCAGGCAGGTCAGAAGAAGAAAAGCTGCAAGAGTCTTCATGGTCTTCTTGTTCTTGTTCTTGTTCTAGATGAACTGAGCTCGTCTGGGTCAGTCAGATTATGACTGAGGATCCGAAGGAGTTCAATTAAATACTGGAGCATCAGGGGCTTCCCCCCAGTTTTACTTCCCATTTGTGCTCCAACTTCCTCTGCTTTTTCTTTTTTTATTATGATTTCTCAGAAACACTGACCTGAACCTTCTTGAAGAAAAGGTATATGATTTAGGGCACACTGAGTTGAACTTTCCCTGAATGAAGAAGAAAATTTTTAATAATAACTCTAAAATATTCATGCACAATTTTCTTTGTTGGGAAACCATCATGGGCCAAAACTTTGCAAAAGCAAAACTTAAAACACACTATAAATTATTAAAAAGACGAAGCAACGCATGCAAATGCATTTATGCCAACCCTTAGCTTTTATGCATTAACTCTGTAGTTTGCATAAAGAAACAGACCCACTAAGATTGAGATGAAATCAAACTGATTAAATAACCAAAGACTGTTAGACCATCAGACCAAAAGACAAAATGAGAGAATTTTAATTTAATTTAATTTATTGACAAAGAACTGAAGTCAATAATGAACAAAGATATGCATTATCTCAGAGAGACACAACCCAAAAAGAAAAAGAAAAACTGATATGGAAAACAAGTTGCTGTTATTTAACAGTTTCTGTATTTTGTGGATCACAAGAGTTTTCCATTTATTTAAAGTTGTGTTTATATATATATATATATACATTTGTTCATTTCAATGGAGGTCAGTATATTTATATATATATATATTAAATGGAGCTTATGTCTGTGTCTGGAGTGAAATGATGCCTTGCTGCTTTTCAGTCTAGTGTATTTTTTATTTTTTTTCAATTGCAACATGTCGAGCCTTACTGTCATTTGACTGGATGACAATTGTCAACTCTCATGGACTGCAGGCATTAAATTAGATTAAATGCACAGGGACCACAAAAACATGAGCTGACAAGTGATGTCCATTGTAATTGACACAGTTAAAAAAGTGAATTCTGTTGACATTTTAGTCGTTTTAAGTACTACTATATAATTAAGTATATAATATAATATAATAGGGTGCCAGTGGAGGCTATTCGCATTCTGCATTCTGGAGGTGAAGACATCTTGAAAATGGTCATGTCTCATCTGTACAGCAAATATAATATAATATAATATAATATAATATAATATAATATAATATAATATAATATAATATAATATAATATAATATAATATAATATAATATAGAGTGATGCAGTGGCGCAGTAGGTAGTGCTGTCGCCTCACAGCAAGAAGGTTGCTGATTTGAGCCTCGGCTGGGTTTGTTGGCGTTTTTGTGTGGATTTTGCATGTGCTCCCTGTGGTCATGTGGCTTTCCTCCGAGTGCTCTAGTTTCCCCCACAGTCCAAAGACATGCAGTAGAGATGAATTGGGTAAACTAAATTGGTGCAAATGAATGTGTATAGATGTTTCCCAGGGATGGGTAGCAGCTGGAAGGGCATCTGCTGCGTAAAACATGAGCTGGATAAGTTGGTGGTTCATTCCGCTGTGAATGAATATAATATAATTAGTAGTACAGGAAACAATATATAAAGAAATAAGCCTGGAAAATAACAGAAAAAGTACTGACAGTTAATTGAAGTTACAAAATATGAAAAACTGCTAATTTACAGATTTTTTTTACCGTGCAAAACAAAAAACAAAATAAAGTTACAAAAAAACCTTACCTATATTATAAACAAGCACAGAGAGAACATATCCAGATAAAAACTGTTTGTCTCTCAATCTTTTCAAATAAAGGATAAGTTTAACAAAATTTTTCAGCAATGTTATATCGAACATTTTAAAATGTGTGAAACTCTCCAAAACAATTGAAAAAAATATAAATGCTATAGCCTCAGCTTTATTCAAACTGCTTTAGTTTTTCTAAATAGGTCTCGCATCTATCTCTAAACCAGACTTAACCTAACTGCTGGTCATCATTTTCAGTGTAACTCAATACTCAAATTAGTATATATTTTTTGCTCATTCAAACTACTTATTTAAAGTGAGCTGAAACAACAAAATTCTTAAGATTTCATTGGGACAACTTAATTTTTTATGTTCAATCCTCACAAATTTGTTAAAAGTGTTAAGTCAACTTAATCAATTTGTGTTGGAAAAACATGAATGAATTGTGTGGAACCCTGCATTTTACAGTGAAGAATGATAACTTGAAAAATCTTCTTTCTAATTAGAAAAACTTTCTAGATGAATTTAATGAATATTTATCTGCTATCTAATGACTGAAAACCAGTGGTGGAAAATGTACAAAAAATCATACTCAAGTAAAAGCACCATTATTTGCCCAAAAATGCTGTGGAGTGAAGGTATCTGTTGTAAATATTCATCAAAGTATGAGAAACAGTAGACCTTTTAAAAGTACTCAAGAGTAGTGAGTATTACATTGTTAAAGGCTGATGCATTAATGAAATTTGTGCAGGGATGTGTAAATGTAACATTATGTAGTGCATTTAGTTATTGTCTAAAACTATTTGACTATTTTAGTCAGTGAAATTCTGTTCAGACTTCTCATCAGTTACATGCAGTCTCTGAATCACTGCGATTTTGGACATCTTCTTGGACACTTTTAATGCTTCCAAACAGTTTGCTGCATTTTAAAAGTGCTCATGCTTGTAAGCGATTTACTTTCTATGTGCTATTTGACTGGACAGGAATCACAGGACTGATTTTTCTTCTTAGCCAATCTCCATAGACAAGAAAAAATATAGTAGTGACTGCAAGGTAATGTAAATTAGTAAAATGACTGATATAGGACTAACTATATACTCAAGGAAAAGTGAAAGTACATATTTTTAAACCTGCTTACAATTCCTGAGAAAATCTACTCGATTACAGTAATTTGAGTATTTGTGATGTGTTACTTTACACCACTGCTGACAACATTCTTTATTTACTCGCTGTTCAACACATGCTTGAATTACAGATCTTTGAAAGTGCGGTTGAGATCAGCTGGATTTGCTGGTTTGATTGTAAATGTTGGATTTATTTTACAATGTCAGTAAGAAACACATGCAGGACCAAGCGTATTTTCTGTGGAAGATGGTTAAATAATTTCACTACCTCTTTATTTTTATAAGTCACCATAAACATTATACTGTAGGTCATATGCAGAAGAGAAAGAAATGCTGACCTCAATTTTGGTTAAAGATGTAAGCATTTGAACAATACGATTTCTCTAATTAGCCCTGGATCAAGTGATGAGTCGTAACATTTAGAAAAACTTACCAAAAAAACAAATGAGTAATACTTTATAATAACAACACACTAAGAACCATTTATTAAGCATCAGCAAATAGTGAATTAATAATCTGTTGAGCATAAAATTAATAAATGTTAGTTAGCAGTTCATAACTGCAGCAACAAATCAAATGAAATCAGGCCTTTACTTGTCACATAACCTTTCGTGTAGTGAAATTGAAGCCCCCCAACCGTACACAAACATCAGAATTTTCAGGGGAAGACAGGTCACAGGAGGTAGCATTTAGAAAAAGGAAGTAAGATACATTTTAGGAGAGGGAGGCAAAAAAACCTCCCTCTCACCTTGCTCTTGAATTAGGGGAGATCATCTTGCTCTTGAGATCAGGGGAAAAAAAAGCCCCGCAATCAGCACATAAACATGCAAACAAGACATAACATTGCCACAGGGGATGGGAACAGGGGGTGTGGATATATAGTCCAATGAGGGTGGGCAGCCATGGGGTGCTGGTCACGGACTCGCATGTCTGACCCGCAAATGCTCTGTTTTTTACGTACAAGCATATTTATAATGTGCTTAATAATTGTACTTTCATACTTTGTTAATGATTTATTTTTCATTACTAAATTAAGCTCTGCATTATTAACAAACCAGTTATTTAAGCATAGTTGTTTTTTAAGATCATTCAGAACGAGTTAGTAAATGATTAGTAAACTATTCAAATGAACATTTCTAATTCTTACTATTCAGGCATGTACTAATAGTTAATTTGTAAAATTTGTGAATGCTTTATTAACTCGACTTCTGTTTTGTGACCTAATCTAGAGTGAGGACTGTTTATGCTTTATAAATGCCTTATAAATGACAATTAAAGGCTCAGTTAAATTCTAGAAAAAAGAAAATGAACGACTTTATTAATTTCTATTCGTTTGAAGATACACAAATGAAACTATATCAAATAAAAAAAATAATCTTTGCAACCTTATCTAAAATAAAATGATGATACAGTTTAAACACTGCATCCTATTATATTGTTAAATTAGTATATTGTTGTTGTTTTATGCAATTTTATTTTTACATTTTGATAAGACTGCAAAGGTTATTATTCATTTGATACCAAGCCTTTAATTGTCATTTATAAGGTATTTATAAAGCATAAATAGTCCTCACTTAAGATTAGGTTGCAAAACTGCATGAAGTTGAGTTATTAAAGCAGTTGTTAACATACAAATTAACTATTAGTATATGCCTGAATAATAAGATATATAAACGTTAATTTGAATAGTTTATTAATCATTTATCTTAGAAAACAATGTATGAAAGTACAATTGTTTAGCACATTATAAATATGGTTATAGGTCAAGAATACAGCATTTGTAGCTGCAGTTATAAACAGCTTACTAACGTTTATTAAGGTAGAGTTAATGCTTAACAAATAATGTACTCTGCTAATGCTTAATAAATGATTCATAGTCTGTAATTATTATAAAGTGTTACCAACATAGGCTTAGAAAAATAAACATATTTTTTAGGCCATATTTTTGTGCAAAAATGACATTTTAAAGTAATGTTTTATAGAGTGGATTGAATATTTCAAAAATGAAAGTATTTTACTGATGAAATGCACTTACTAATCAAATGTTGGAATACCAAATTATTTAGGCATAAACAAACATCAAATCAGGATATCGGAAATCACTTCTCCTTTAACTGGAAAATCATCAAGTATTTTCACTACCTTATTCTTTATATAGGACCATGAGCAGTTGTGCTGAAGTCATTCTGAATGTCACAATCATGCATGAGAAATGAAAATGAAAGAGAGACTGAAAGTCCTTTTGGGAAATCTGGAAATGAACAAAACAATAAGCTCTTTAAATGATTCATTACTATATCAATGTATTGCCAGAAATGATGGGTGGTGTTTTTTTTTAAAAAGCACAATTAAACACAAACTGACCTCCAGCCACTGTCACAGTTTACAAACAGATCCCAATCGCAGAACAGGCAGGGAATTTCCCCCCAAAAAGTCTTTAATCTGAAAACAAAACAAGCCCAAACTGTACCCAATAGAGCTGGAAAACTAAAGACACAATAGGGCACAAAATGGAAAAAAATAATAAAACAAGCAAACAAGAACAAAACTAAAAAAGGATGATTGACCAAGTACTTTACTTGACCTGTAACTAGACTTGACTTAAAAAAGTACGCAAAACGAACATGTCTCAAAAGGTTGGTAAATCTTAAATAATAAAAAATGCCTTCAATGTGAGATATGTCAGATATTATGAGCAAAAATTATTTCAAAGTTTTGCTTATTATTACACATGATAAGAATTATATCATACAATCAATGTTGTTGTTTATATATTTAGTTTCATATTAAAAAAGATATTTAAATATGATGTGCAATAAAAAATGTGCTTTCACATGTTGTACAATGGCATTGTATCCAATAAATATTATACCAGCTAACAAATAGCGGAGCATGCATGTTGATTTGTACATGTTTGATGACTTAAGATTACTAAAACTGTTTGATAATCAGTTTGGATTGTAAATATTTAACCTGTGTGAACTCTTCAGATTCATGTACATATACAATGTATAAATGCTGTGCATTGACCATGCCATATCTGACATTTTTCAGTCTTTTTACATGTTCATCAATCATACATACTCCTTAATTTACATAATTTGTGATTTGTGAAATGATGGTGATTTATGGTAAGGGTGTCTGATATCTAGCTGGAAATTTAAATAATCTTTGCGTATAGGGGCACACTTATTATGTGGATAATTCAGTTAAAAGGAACAGACAACTTTAAAAATAGAAAATCCCTTTTATTTTCAAAGTGTAGACGTACAGATGTACAACAACACAATTAATCTTCTTAAGTGGACTGTATAACAGTGCTTTTTATTGGTTCTAAGAAAAGGAATACAAAATAAAATTGCAAAACTGATTATATATATATATAATATTTAATTATGCTACAGTCTGTTGCATGTGTTATCAATCTCATTTTTCACAATGGTTTATACAGATCTCTATAGTCACACTCAAACAACATGTAAACTGTCAGCCATGGTGGTTTTACAGTATCTAACAGGGTGTCCTTTAATGGCTTATTGCTGGATCCTGAAAAGACCACACACACTTCATCATCAGACTTTTTATTTAATTGATTAATTTCAGAAATAGCCATATCATATTTGATAACTACAGACTACAAAAAGTGTTAAAATACTAATATCTTTTCAAGAGCCCTCCTGATTAGCGGCTTGGTGAATTTAAACTCTGGGTTTAAGCATTTCTGCAATGAGCTCTTCATGGTCACACTGAAAAAAAAGGAAAGATCAGCTAAATGTGTTAAAATAACAGCATGAATGTGTCAATATCTCCATATAATCGTTGTTTTTGTCCTTACTCCTGTTTTCCACAAGATGGACTTGGATGGATGATTTCAAACTTCTCAATGTTCCTCAGTACAACCCTGTCCAGGCCTTTACCGACACACGAGCACCTGTTAATCTTTTTTTGCCCTGAAATCAAAATGAAGAATTGTTATCTGCAGAACAGCATCATAAAAACTAGTATTTATCAGATACAGGCTTTGAATAAATAAATATTAAATTGTATTGAAGGGCCTAATAGGCAACTCTCACCATGCACTTGTGTAGCAAGCAGACACGCCAGAAAAACAAAAGTGCAGCAGTCTTCATTGTTGAAGGTTTTGATGACCGTTTGAAGCCATAAACTCTGAAGATGTTTCCCTGCTTGTAAATCAGCATCACACATGGGCACAGTTCCCAGTTACACTTTCAGCAGTTTCAATTTCCCATTTCTTTGAAATGCTTTCACTCAAAGTGTTGGATGCTTATCAGTCTTGTGTCATTTATTTTACTGTAATTAATTTTATTTTTGTAGGATACAACTTGCATGTTGCTCTTGTCTTCCGTATAGGAAAAGCAAATACTGATGTGAAAGTTAATGGTTACAGTTTCCAACATTCTTTAAAGTTTATTATTTTGTGTTCAACAGAACGAAACAAAACCTTTGGAACAATTAAAGGGGAAAGAATGATGACAGAATTTTCATTTTTAGGTGAACTATCCTTTAAAATGTTTAAACAAAATGCAACAAGCATTCACACTCACAGATGCATTAAAATCCATGTGTATCAGTGATCAAAGTGTTTAAACGGCTATAGTGAAAACTAATATTTTGTATCACAAAGAATACTCTGATGATGGAAATTAGTGACATCATGACATTAAAACAAAAGCAGTTTTCACTTCCCTGATTAGATTTGTCTTAAGAAGTTCATGCTTATGAGAGAAAAAACATTTTGCAAACTCATGCTGAATAATCACCATTAAATGCTTTGCATATATGGTTTTGCCCATATAGGTAAATGTACTGTAGCAAAGACTCTAAATTGTTCTGGGCTATTTCAACTTAGATTTGGGTAAAATATGGACATTTTATATTTTTTACCCCAATTTAACCCAACCATTGGTCCATATTTTACCGAACCTATTATATTATAACCTGTATTGTTAAGTTTTAAGAATTTTGCTTTTCAAGCAGTCAAGCAAGATTCAGCATTACTTTTTGTAATGGTGTTTATCATTTTACTTAATTATACATTTTTATTCTACATTTTTATTTATACATTTAGATCTTTTATAGTCTTCATAAATATAGGACTAGCTTTAGCGAATCCAAGCATCTTTTGCAAATGGCCATTTCATTTTTTTTTTTTTTTTTTTCAGCACAATAACATGTCCTGTGTGAAAGGTCTCTTTTCTGGCAGATCAGTTTTCTCATGAGTGTTGAAAAGACTCTCATAGTCTCAAATGAAACTCATTTACAGTGCTGTCATTGTCCCTTTCTCAATACGGCATTTGTTTACTATTCCTTTCGTAATTTATTATTTCTGTGCTTTATTTTCTCTTATATAATAACAAGACTTTTCAATTGAATTTGATGTTTAATTTTGTTTATTTGTTGTGTTTTGTTGGGTATACTTTAAAAATTGCTGAGTTATTGTAACCTAACCCAACGTTGGTTTATTTGTTTCAATTTAACTTTAAATTACACTTTTGACTAAAAGGTTGGGTTTGTCTGTATTCGACCCAACATTGTATTTTTTTTTTTTTTTTTGAGTTTACCGTGCTTTTATTTTGTCCACAGCTTTTTTTAAAAAAAACATATTTTTAATCTAAAGCCTATACTTTAAATAATTCTGGGTTGTCCTGACCAATGTTTGGTCAAATGTGGACAAACCCAACCTTTAGATAAATTTTTTTTTTCAGTTAAATTAAAATTTAATTAAATTAAAAATATTTTCAACCCAACTGGGTTTTTTCATATTTTACCCAGCATAACACAAGCTGTAATACAATCCAAAAATTTAAGAGTGTATCCTGACCATAGAGTGAGTCATTTCTAAGCCGAAAAATAGTAATGACTAATAACTAATATTTAAAAACATTACCAAATATATAACAAATATCTGACCAGGAACCAATAATAATAATAAAAATAATTCACTCAAGCAAAAATTGTGAAACCTTCACAAGGTTTTATTTGAAGATTTGGATCAGACAATAAATAAAACGATACAATCAGAATAAATAAATTAAGCTAGAGGGAAAATACATTTAATAAATTACATTGTAACACATTAAAACATCTCATATTTTTAATAAACTCCAAATTGGCCACAATCTTGACACTCGAAAATGCAGCTGAACCACTTCATCCATTTTACCGAGCGTTTCTACAAAGACAACATAAACATTATTCCAATATTCAGTTTAAATATGTAAAAGAGACATTCAGGTCAAGTCTTCAGTAACAAATGTGATGGCACTGGTAAGACTTACCGGTTATTTTTTTCAATCTTGTCAATGATCTTTTTCGTAAACTTGGACTTTGGATTTAAGCATCGTTTTCCAGCTCCATTCTTCAGCGTGGCTCTGTTCAGATACACAGTTGAGTTATTAAAGAGAATACAGATGGATGGATTTCTTCATTCTAACTATGAATTATCATTGTTCTTACATGACTTCCATATGTCCACAGGATGGACTTGAAGGGAGAATTTCAATCTTCTCAATCAGCACTGGCTTCACCATGTTGAGTCCAGCACCAAGACACACACATCTCTGGCTTTTCATATGCTGCCCTGGAGGACGATATAAATAATAATGAAAATGATTCATCTTTAACAACAAAGCAAAAAAAGCTTTTTTAAAGAATAAATAAATTAAATAAAACAACAAATATTAAAGCAAGCAAAAGGATCTTACCTTCAATAGCAACAACAGCTAAACTGACAAGAAGCAGAGCAGTAACAGTCTTCATTGTTCGGTTTCCTGATGGTCTTCTTTCACATTCCACCCTAAACCACTTTCGAATGATCAAATGTTACGACAAGAACTCATTTTATATGCTTTAAAGGGATTTTCCTATGTGATGCGTTGGGCCAGGGCAGAATTTGGCCCAGTTCCATGCATGCTTCCTTTTTATATACCGTTTCTAGGAAATAAGGAGTAAGAGCAGTCCAGATTAAATCTGAATGCTTTCATTATTTTGTTTGGGTTATACGTGTTATAGGGTTTAAACAAACAATACTGGGCAAAAGCAAAGTATATGTGACCTTGTTATTTGCTTTTAATTACCCAACAATTGAATTGTTGAATCTGTAACCCATGGAATTATGTAAGACTGGTATATTTGTGGGAATAGACAAAAATACATTGTATGGGTCAAAGTTGGAATTTTATTTTATGCCAGAAATCATTAAGTTAACATCATGTTCTATCAATATATTTGACCATTTTCTTTAGGTAAATAACAAAGCGTTTGATTTTTGTTTAATTTTTAAGTAGCTAGATGGATTGCACTTCATTTAGACAACTTTTAGGGCGATTTTCTTAGTATTTAGATTTCTTTGCATGCTCAGATTAGATAGCTGTACAAAGCATAGATGGAAATAATGAATTTATGAATGATGTTGTCCAGGTTGACGTATTCCCTAAGCAACAAGTTAAATATAAAAGAGGAAATCATAATTTTTTAAAGGTACTGTAAAAGAAATGGGTTTAAATTCTAAAATAAATACTGTCAAAAATTAGAGTATGGTCTGTCATTTTAAATAGTTAATGTATATACTTCATTGTTTCTCTTTAGTGTTGGATTAGCAGTCGTTCTCAACTGTGTTGACTTATTAAAGTTGAAGAATGTCATTCTATGATAGACTTAAAACAGTAACTCATATACAATTCTAATACACTACACAGATATTTAATAGTATTTGAACTAATATTAACTGACCAATAAACATTAATCTTCATACTACAGTATATTACAGAACAGTAAGTTTGTCCCGTTCCTTCAAATTGCATACTTAGTAACATGACTGTGATGGCCTTCTGCGCATTCACTTACTGCAAACAAAGGTCTTTTCTCATAAACTGCACACACTGTGTTGTGTGTGTATGATAAGATTGTTAGGTCTTCTCTTTTTTTTTTTTTTTTTTTTATGGAGGCAGATTTTCTGGCAAATTGATTGTACTATTCAGCTAAGGGTTCAGGTCACATTTTATATTCTCATTTTTCGTATTGAAAGTTATATTTTTTTATGAATGTGACCATGACAATATCTGTATTGTAGGCTGTTCATTCATCCATTTTCTTTTTGGCTTAGTTCTTTATTAATCAGGGGTTGCCACAGCGAAATGAACTGCCAAATTATCCAGCATATATCATACGCAGCGTATGCCCTTCCAGCCGCAAGCCAACACTGAGAAACACACATACACATACACTTCAGACAGTTCACCCATAGAGCATGTCTTTGGACTGTGGGGAAAATTGGAGCACCAAGATGAAACTCACGTGAACACAGGGAGACCATGCAAACTCCACACAGAAATACCAACTGACCCAGCCGGGGCTTGAACAAGCAACCTTCTTGCTGTGAGGCGATTGTGCTAACCACTGCACCACTGTGACACCCTTGTAGGCTGTTGTTGTAGAAAATTAGACTAGACTGCAAAATGACAGAACTTAAATGGATAATTTACCCACATGTGAGTTTTTTTTTTTACTCACCATTCACTCATCTTCGAATTGTTCCAAACTTTAAAAAGTTTCTTTCTTTCTGATGACACGGCCGTGGTTGGACTTATGGTCAATGTAAAAGAGGAGCTAGAGAGGGCCTACTTTAAACACATAGAACATCAGTATGTGATGCAAGGAGTGTTTAGTCACGAAATGCTTTGAAAACTAAGGAACTTATTATCAGGGGTGGCTCTAAGCAATTCCAGCCTAAGGGCCCAAGTCCTGAAATGCAATCTTTCTACCTTTATTTTAAAATATATTTATATAGCTGTTTTTTACATTATTTATATAGCGACATTTTACATTAATGCAAGCTGTACATTTCAAATGATTATTTATCTTAAAATGAATTTACAGCTAAAAGATAATACATTTTTTTTTAATAAATTTGACTGCTGGGATGCTCCTTCCTGGTAGTAGATACAGAGTACCCACAGCAAAAACAAATAATTTTAAGAAATCCTTTATACCGTCTGCTATTGCCATATTGCAGGGGTGTCAAACTCAATTCCTGGAGGGCCGAAGCCATGCACAGTTTAGTTCCAACCCTGCTCCAACACACTTACCTGTAGGTTTCAAACAAGCCTGAAGGACTCAATTAGATTGATCAGGTGTGTTTAATTAGGGTTGGAACTAAACTGTGCAGAGCTGCGTTCCTTTTGGAACTGAGTTTGACACCTGTGCCATATTGAATAAATGACCATAAAGTAATTTGTATGTTAATTTGTAGTTTCATAGCTAGGGTTGTGTGTTGGTAATCTGTGGTGTAGGAAGCCTTGTGTTTGTGCTATGTGTTTGTGTTTTGTATTTGTGATGTTTGGGAGGCCATAAACGAATTTTACACGTGTGGACAACAAATCCAATTGTAATTCATTCTTCAGCAAAAAAGATTCAATCATTCATTCTTTTATATTCTTTTGGGCTTAGTCCCTTTATTAATCCGAGGTCGCCACAGCGGAATGAACCGCCAACTTATCTAGCATATGTTTTACACAGCAAATGCCCTTCCAGCTACAACCCATCACTGGGAAACATCCATACACTCATACACACACACACACATACACACACACACTAGACAATTTAGCCTATCCAACTCTATACCACATGTTTTTGGACTGTGGGATTAACCGGAGCACCCGGAGGAAACCCACGCCAACATGGGTAGAACATGCAAACTCCACACAGAAACGCCAACTGACCCAGCCAAGGCTCAAGCCAGCGACCTTCTTGCTGTGAGGCGATTGTGCTACCCACTGCACCACTGTGCTGCCCCCAAAAAGAAGATTTAGAAAAAAATGTTGAAAAACTGTATCAATGGCCACCAGTTTTAAGTATTCTTTAAAACATATTCTTTTTTTTTCAACAGAAGAAAAACAAACAGATTTGGAACAAGTTGAGAGTAAGTAAATGATGACAGAATTTTTATATTACAACCCGTTTAAATTATAGACAAATATGTCCTTTTTTGTAATAGTTACTTGACAATCTGCCAGGTCCGTGTAATTAATCATAATGTTATAATAATTGTTTAATACTAAACATCAGAAGTAAACAAATCACTAAACCAGCAGGAATTATAAAACTATATTTATTGTTTTAATGGGCACAGCATACACACAATTAATGGATTAGGATAATACTTTCTATAAAAACGAACTGGTGAAAATAGTAAAAAATGTTGTAATTGTGGACACAGTGCTTTCTTAATTAAGATTACTGACATAAAACATTCATTGGCAATAGGTCAGACCAATTACATATACATATACCATATCTCAACAGTTGAATCATACAAATGTTTAAAGATCACAAAACATAAAAAGAAAGGGAAACACATCTGAGTGTAAATGTCTTTAAAATCATATGTTGTGACATCACGCGGAGGAGGGAAAAATCACATGACATCTCTTCGGTCAAACTTTATTCTTCTCCTTTTTTCCTCTGTTCCTTTGGTTTTGCTTTTTCCCCCTATGTTTGAAAACACAATGACAAAATATTAGTCATATTGTAAACGCAATACACAGACAAGCTATTTTTATACAAGCAGAACATTCAGCAATAAGGCATATCTCACCATCTGCCCTTCAGTAGCCTCTGTCCTTGTTTCCCGTTAGGATCCAAACACACCTTTGACCTCTTTCTGCTTCCCTTTCCTTTTGTTTTTCCCCTCCCTTCCACGACCGTCAATCTATAAGATCAGCAGGAGAAAAAGGCAGACGCAAAGCTCATTTGGAAGTGCAATAGTTCACTAAGTTACAAAATAAATCTCTAGACAGAATAATGATTCAATATTACACTCTAAAAAATGCTGGGTTGGTTTTTTAACCCAAATGCTGGGTTGAGACTGCTGGGTAACAAAATTGGGTTGATTCAACCCAATTTGGGTTGAAAATCGATCTTTATCTATAACCCAGCAGTGCTGGGTTGGGAACGCGGACGTGAAAGAGAGCACGCACGTCACGTCAACATGCAGGGACATCAACGTGAGAAACCGCCATTTTCTTTGCGCTGTCTTTGAGGGGAAGCGAGTGAAATTCTGTGTGAGACGTAAGTTATTTAGTGTGTTTTTAACAATTTTCATAAGAAATAACACACTTAGTTTACTTAGTATAATATACACGCGCTTTTTTTTCTGTTTCTCCGCCTGATGGCCGACTTGTTGCTCCGCCTCACGCTGACCTGTGCTCGCCTTATGGCTGAACTGTTGCTCCGAGTCCGCCTGACGAGCCACCTGTTTGTCCGGATCTGTTTCTCCGCCTAACGGCGACGTGTTTCTCCGGACCTGTTTCTCCGGACCTGTTTCTCCGCCTAACGGCGACCTGTTTCTCCGGACCTGTTTCTCCGCCTAACGCCCGAGCTGTTGCTCCGCCTAACTCCTGACCTGTGCTCGCCTCACGCCCGACATGTTGCTCCACCTCACGCCCAGCCTGTTGATCGGTGGACGGGTAAGCGCGCATGGCATCGGAAGGAGCTCGAAAAGTATAAGGTAACTAATGAAACTAACGTGAAGCATGTTTGATGACCACTTTATAAACACAACACCTAGGATAATTTAGGAGCTTTTTATTGTAATAAAATACCTTTTGAATGACACAGATTTTTATGTTGGCTAGGTGATGACAGTAAGTAACGTTACTGTGATTTGTGATCTTTCTGGGGTGTTAACTGTAAAGCAGTAAGTAGTATTTTTACTATTGTATTTCTTAAGTTTGTTCATGGATTTTTGTGACAATACTTTGATGCATAAGTGTTGAATTCAGCTTCTAACAATGTTTTTTTTTTTTATCAAAATATATACAATAATTGTCCTGCTCTGCATGTACATTTTGTTTAGCTGTACATCTGTACATTGAATAGCAAATGTTATTAATTTACTATGAGCATTTTACATTCTAGACGTGATTTGAGCTATCTTTAATTAATCCTGTATGTAAGGGTCGTTTCATGCTAACGGAAATGTCTGAGCTAAGACTAATTCCAACCTAATCATCTTCGACTGCAAAAAGAAAAAGTTTGACCACCGTTTTATGTGACACCCTGGATAATTATTATCATTTAGGAGTATTTTTGTGATATAGTGACTTTTGGCTAACATGATCTTTTTTCACTTAATTTTGCTTAAACGCTTTTATCTGTTATTCTTTTTCAGATGGATAATTGCGTGAAAATCAAACTAAAAGAATGCAATCTTGAGGAGTTAATCCCCACATTTGAAGGTATGTAATAATATTTTACTTGGTTCATTGTAATCATTAGGGCTGCCCTTGTCTAAACATTTGTCTGGTTGACTTGTGATGTTCATTTGAAGCATTAGTTGAATAATTACAGATTTATTAATAAACCATTTATTCATTAATTCATTTTCTTTTTGACTCAGTCCCTTTATTAATCTGGGGTCGCCACAGCGGAATGAACCGCCAACTTATCCAGCATATTTTTTACACAGCGGATTCATGCAGCATACATTGACCTTGCCAGTGTGGACTTTTTTCTGCAACTAGTGGGTAGCACATTCGCCTCATAGCAACAAGGTCACTTGATCGATCCTTGGCTGGGTCAATAGGCCTTTCTGTGTGGAGTTTGCATGTTCTCCCCGTGTTCGCGTGGGTTTCCTCCAGGTGCCCCGGTTTCCAAAGACGTGGTAAAGGTGAATTAAGTAGACTAAATTGTCAATGGTGTATGTGTGTGAATGAGTATTTGTTTCCCAGTGATGGGTTGCAGCTGAAAGGGCATTCGCTGCATAAAACTTATGCTGGATATGTTGGTGGTTCATTCCATTGTGGTTACCCCAGATTAATAAAGCGACAAAGCTAAAAAGAAAATGAATGAATGAATAATAAATTTTTAGTTGACTAATGGTTATTCAATTATTAGGGGGCAGCCCTAGTAATCATTAGCCACTTCAACACTTTAAACTGAGAGATTGAACTCTAATGCCAATTTGTTTTTGTCTGGTTATTTTTTAAAATCTGCTGTTCATGCAACCAGTGACATTCTCTTGTTTGATTTTTAGCACAGGAGCGAACCTTTCCTCGTTTTTAGGTCAATTTGAATACAATTCAGAGGGTAAGGATTCAATTAAAGGTTTCTCGATGCATAATGATGCATTTAATGCATAATGATTGTCTTAGTTATTTTATTAACAATGAAAATGTTATTTTTATGTTTGTTATTAGGGTGGCATGGGGGCGCAGTGGGTAGTGCTGTCGCCTCACAGCAAGATGGTTGCTGGTTTGAGCCTTGGATGGGTTTCCCCTCCACAGTCCAATGACATGCGGTGTAGCTGAATTGGGTAAGCTGAATTGTCCATAGTGTGTGTGTAAATGAGAGTGTGATGGGTTGCAGTTGAAAGGGCATCTGCTGCGTAAAACATAAAAAGATGTCACCCAAGATGTTCATGTCATTCTTTCTTCAGTCAGAAAGATTTTTTTTTTAGGAAAATATTTCAGCAATTTTATCCATCTTGGACTGAGATTGTGCCTCATTTTTGAAGTTTTTAAAGAAAATTTAAATGCGGCTTCAAATTATACAAATACGGTTGCAAACAGTCCCAGCTCAGGAAGAAGGGTCTTATCTATTCTCATTAAGAAAACACAATTAAATACTTAATAATTTCAAATGCTCATCTTGCCTTACTATTACTTATTAAAAAAAGTTCCTTAGGCAAACCTGTTGTTGCATTGTCATCTTCACTCGGGCCAAAAAATTGCAGCATGGTGCCATGGTCAGTGGTTAACTAATGCAAACACTGGCTGATAGCTTGGTGTGTTATGGCCTTAATTGCTTCTAAAGGTATTTTAGGTGTTCTAAAGTTAACTCTAAAGATATTTAACTTTTACACTTTTGAGTTTTTAATAAATCTTACTTCTATTTATTTTTTCAGATTGGGACCAATATTGCTGAGTATCTTCATCCATTGAATTCAAGAATCTATTGAGTTTCCTCATGTTCTCATCCTTGGAGACCACCACTTCTTTCAAGCCTTTGCTCACGTGCTGTGCTATTTATTATTGCAAAGTACATTACTTGCCAAAGTGGACGTTTGCTATAAAGCATTCTACATCTTTGGTGTGAACTACCCCAAGCAGTGTTCCCTGGTGTGGCAGACTGTGGTTTATGGACATCCTGGGGAGGAGACACTAGCAGTAAGGGTTCTGCTAGCATTAATTTTTGCTGACAAACAGTAATAATTAATACTGTGACCTCACTGCTTCCTTGGATTCTGTGTTCTTTAACTTGTACTTTGGATTGTGGGGGAAAAGGAGCACCCAGAGAAAACCCACACGAACACGGGGAAAACATGCAAACTCCACACAGAAACACCAACTGACCCAGCTGAGGCTTAAACCACCGACCTTGTTGCTGTGAGGCAATCGTACTACCCACTGTGCCACCATGACACCCATTTCTAAAGAATAGTTTTAATAACTCATTTCTAATAACTGATTTCTTTTCTCTTTGCTATGATGACGGCACATAATAATGGACTCGATATTTTTTAAGACACTCTACACTGCAGTTACATTGCAACTAATGTTTCTTACAGACTCTTTTATATCTCAGGATTGATGTTTGCACATGATTGTTCGAGTAAAAGTTAAAAAAAGTTTTCCTATTTCAAATTTGTTTTAAAATGCTTCCATCCTCAGGTTTCATTTTAACTTTTATATCTGTTTTTTCTTCAAAACTGCATTTACATTGAACTTGATCATCCTTACTGATGATTGCTTTATAGCTCATATATTGATGTTTGCACATAATTGTTAAAGGGAAAGTTATAAAATGTTTTCTTATTTTTTCTTAATATAAAATTTGTATTTTCTTAGTTTTTATTGTTTGTTTTGTTTTTTCAAGCTGTTTGATGCCTTTTCATTATTACTTTCACATATTTTTTTCTGCATTGCAGTTGATGATTTATATGAGAATATGTTGATGTTTGTGCTCAAATTACTTTCTGACTTCAGTCATTTAGATGCATTTTCATTATTACTTCCTTATACTATTGTTTTTCTCTACTCTGCAATAACATTGCAATTGCCTTACTGATGATTCCTGATTTATAAATGATGCAAATGTTTTTGAATGTATTTCAAATATGCATTTTCTTAAGGTAATTTGTCTGATTTCAGTCTGATGCATTGTTACTGAACTTTAGTCAGTGTTTCTGTGATACAGTTTGATAAATTTTCACAGAAATCGTCTTAACCCTTTAACAACCCTTTCAAGAAAAAAAAATTGGATTGCATTTCTCAACTGCTAATGTCGCTATTGAACACAATCAGTACATTTTAACACATGTTATAATTTCTAAAATATCAACCTCTACCAAATGATTGATATGTATGTTTATGGTAAAAGTACCAGAATTATGAAAAATCTGAAAAATTATGTGTAAGACCAATTAAAAAAAAATATATATATATATATATATATATTTATATGTATATAAACATTTTGAACACTAAATCATCTTTTTTCTTATGACTTTAACAGTCATTATTTAAAACAGTAAAAACAAGGTCAACCATTTGGTAGAGCAGGCAGTCAAAGGGTTAATGCTGAGGTGCAGATGGGAAAAATCTCAAATTCATTTGGACACATTTTATCTTTTGTCATAAATAAAATTCCATTACTGAACAACTATGTATTGCTGTAGAATTGTTTTTATTTTAGTGATTTTAATCATCAGTTTCTAGATTAAATTTCTGACCCATTTTGGGTTACATTCAACCCAGCAGTGTAGTAATTTTTAACTAATAGTTGGGTTAAAATCACAACCCAGCATGCTGGGTTAAACTTGTAACCCAACTTGCTGGGTTAAAGTAACCCAGCGTTGGGTTTGTCCCTTTTTTACCCAGCGCTGGGTTACCAAAACAACCCAAATTGGGTTGTTTTCAACCCAGCAGTTTTTAGAGTGTAGCATGTAACAGAAAGCGCCTACATAATCTCTTTGTTTGAGCAGGATGGACTTGGTTGAAACACATCAACTGCCTGAATGGATCTAGGGTTGACTGTTTTATAAGGTTTTCCTATGCACCGACAGCGCTGAGAACCCCCTCCTCCATGCCCTGTTTCACAAGGGATAAAGCAGCGATTAGTGGAAATCAAGAAAAACTGCACTGTAATCCCCCCCCCCTTCACTGTTAGAGAAAACCGATTGCAACAAACCGTTCAAGTTCAAAACCTAATCCTAATGAGTCCTGTGAACTTAATCCATTTGAGTAAATGAAGCAATTTGAGCAAAGTAAAACCCAAGAAATGAAGAGAACTCAAACCAACTGACTACTGTATAACACAATAAGTCAAGGCAACTCAAACTGTTTGAGGAAACAGATTAAACAAACCGTTTGAGTTAAAAAACTATAAGAGTACTGTGTCCTTGGTTCATTTAAATTGAAGCAATGAGGTGTTGAATTAACCCATTATCTTCAACACTGAGTTCAAAACTCTTTTCAAATGAGTTTGAGTTAACTACATTTCATTTGATAAAGTTGACTCTTCTAAACTGTAGACTGGACTGACAGAAAACAGGCCTCGTGCCAAAACACATTTTTATAACACTTAGACCAACAATTTAAAAAAAGAGATTGTTAATGTTAAAAGAAAAATGTATGGTTATATGGGTTAAATAGAGCCTGACCACAGTATTATTTAAATAAAAGGACAAAAAATAGAATAGAAAGTGTTAGTATTAGAGAGCATTTTATTAAAATAGAACATAAATATACATGAATGTGTTTGTTTTAGAGGACCAGACTATTTTTAATGGAGTGTGGACAATCCAAAAAACAATATAGTAAACGTAAAAGTGCACTTAAAAGCAAAGGTACAACAAAATGGACAGCTTTTGTAATGTTTTTATTTTGATATGCTTAACAGAATAATTAGCTTTCATCAATAACACCATCAAAGAGCAAACATGATTATGATTCATTCCATGACTCTGGAAAAGTATGTAAGAACAATTACTGCATGCTGTGGAAAAGATACACTTAAAAATAAATAGATAAATAAAAATCTTATTTTAACACAAATTATAGGTAAAAATGGATAAAACGTACTACTTGAGGAAGGTTAATTTTTTTAAATATAAAACAGTGCACAAATTTAGCCCAGTTTTTTTTTTTTTTTTTTATTTTAACCAAATTTGGGTTGAAATAACTCAGCATTCTTGTTTTGTTTAAAAATGCATTGTTAAAATTTAAAATATGTATACATCAACTGAAGATTTGACCAGAAACATTCAACAAAGTTTTAAAATCTTAAATAATTACTATCACATCATGTTAATATTGTGTTAAAGAGTTAACTAAAAGGATTTACTTTGCCAAGGTGTGTTATGTGTGTTAAAACTATCAGCTTACCTACTGACTGTGCAAGACTCATTCCAAACAGCAGCGCACAAAGCAGTATGAGAACAATCTGATTCATGCTTCCTCTCACAGGCAGCTCAGGAAAAATGTTTCCCTTCTTTAACAGTCTTTGGTTTATCAGGCACGCACTTACTTTCATTTTCCTGTCTTCCAATGAAATCTCTCAAAAACACGTCCTTCATCCCAATGGTTCTTGGGGGGAAAATCCCTGCATGAAACAATAATGTTGAGGTGTTTTTGACAATTCCTAATCTCTGTAATCTGAACTTTTTTTTTGTCTCTGAGTCCCCTGAGTAGAGAGAATGAATATACAGAAAATAACACAATGATTGTTATTCTTTCAGTCAGTCTGTTCATAGTGAGTGTGTTTTATGTAAAAGCACTGTGTTTTGTGTCTTGGCACTAGTTAAACATTAATTTTAGTGCCTCTCGAATAAATGAGAGAAATGTGTACTTAGCAAATGATTGATCATCTAATATTTACATTTAGGAAGATATTAACCAGAGTTATTTTTTACTTTCCATACAGTTAAAAAAAAAAAACTGAAACTGTTTAATGATGGAAATATACTGGATAATAAATGAATTAATTAAATACATAAAGAGGATTTGCGATAACAGGATTTTATTTATTATATAATACATCTTTTTTGTCAAATGTTATTTGGTGTTTGTGCTAATCATTATGGAAATCTGATAACTAAAAGGAGATGATGAAATAGGCAAGATAAACATTTAAAATGTACCAACTAAATAAAAAAAGCAAAATAATAATAATAATAAAATAAAAAGCCTTTCTTTTTGTCTGATAATTGAAAGGATTTCACATATGTTTTTTTTTTTTTTTATAATTCAGTTAAATTTTAAAACCAATTTACTGTAAATCAGAAGATTTTTAAATACCAGAGGGAAATTAGTTCAGGTCAAGGATAAGTGGGAGTTTAACTAAAATGGTACTGGTGATTAATGAGCAGAGTTGTTCTCATATTTCAATGGAAAGGAGGTGCGCACACACACACACACACACACACACACACACACACACACACACACACTCTCTCTCTCTCTCTTTTGCGACAAATGAATAAGTGAAATTAATGTGAAGCAGTGTTGGGGTTAAGATTCAGGCACAAAATGTGCAACAAAACGCTGTTCAACAAAAACAAACAGGTGAATCTGATAGGTGTGTGTTAGCCAACACAGACAGACTAAGCAAACTTACCAACAAATGTAACCCAAGAATCAAAGACAGGGCAACAAACATAATACTAGGACACAGAAAGAAAAAGTACAAAATTAATTCTGCATATAATGATAAAAATGTGACGGTAGTGCATATTTACTTTGTTCAATCTGACTCTGAGTACCTTTAAACGTGTATTATGTCTTAAAAGATATCTGTATTTGTATTTTATGATCTGTACTTTTTTACGAATCGTGATTATGTAATTTTGTGGTATTGTTTTTTATTAGTTTTTTATTTTTTGTGTGTGAAATTTTGTGCTGCTGTCTTGACAGGTCTCACTGGAAGAAGAGATTGTGCCGTCTCTGTGATCTCCTGGCTAATTAAAGAAAATAACAATAATAAATCACATACAAAAGTTATGTCAACTGAAAAAGAAATAGAAACACATCTGGCAACCAGAAAATCTGAATATATATATATTTTCTGCTCTTTTATTTCATGTAATGCACCTTCGACAACAAATTACTTGCTCTTATTTATATTTTAAAAACAACATTTTACTGATGTGAGAGTTTCATAGCTGTTATAGAGATACTAACATTTTAATTATACTAATGTTTTGATATATATATATATATCTTTCTGTGTGGAGTTTGCATGTTCTCCCTGCGTCCGGGTGGGTTTCCTCCGGGTGCTCCGGTTTCCCCCACAGTCCAAAGACATGCGGTACAGGTGAATTGGGTGGACTAAATTGTCCATAGTGTATAAGTGTGTGTGAATGTGTGTGTGGATGTTTCCCAGAGATGGGTTGCAGCTGGAAGGGCATCCACTGCATAAAAACTTGCTGGATAAATTGGCGGTTCATTCCGCTGTGGCGACCCCAGATTAATAAAGGGACTAAGCCGACATATATATATATATATATATATCAAAACCATAACATTTTCTATGGCGCCCTCTAGTGGTCTTATCTGTGAATTTCTAAGCTATCTAATATCTAAGAAGATGTCTAAATTTTATTAATTCATTCATTCATTCAATCATTCATTCATTTTCTTTCGGCTTTGTACCTTTATTCAACGGGGGATGCTCTTCCAGCTGAAACACAGTACTGGGAAACATTCAAACACATGTCTAAATTTGTACTTTGTATAAATATAATTATGATGTGTTTGACAAATCACGATGAACATACACACAATATCACAGTATTGTATTATTTTCTTTTTGGCTTAGTGCCTTTATTAATCAGGGGTCGCCACAGCGGAATGAACCGCCAACTTATCCAGCATATGTTTTAGCACTGAAACCCATCACTAGGAAACATCCATATACACTACGGACAATTTAGCTTACCCAATTAACCTGTACCACATGTCTTTGGACTGTGGGGGAAACCAGAGCACCCAGAGAAAACCCACGCAATCACAGGGAGAACATGCAAACTCCACACAGAAATGCCAACAGACCCAGCCGGGGCTCGAACCAGCGACCTTCTTGCTGGGAGTTTACCGTGCTACCCACTGCGCCACCATGTCACCTTTTAAAAATATGTATAATTAAATAATTTAATGTACGTGTTTATTTCAATTGCATTGTAGTGATCCACACACAAATGTCACTTAATTTGTGAAAATGTCTTTTTCATTCATACCAGAGTTTATCTCTTCAAGCACAAAGTCAGTTTCAACATTTGACTAGGTGAATTGAGGTGTATTGCTGCACACACTAATATCACCTAGGTGGACTGCACACACAGTCTGTTATCACAGTTTCTTTAGTTTTTCAGTTTTGTTGGGGGAAAGGCCTAAATCTTGTACATACATGTTAGCAGTTAGAGTGGGCAGAAAATGTAGGTCATTCCCCAAAGAAAACTGTAAAACTTAAGGAAAGTCTCCAATCTCTCCTATAGGCTACTTTAAAGATCAAATTAAGTCAACATATTTTAATTTCGGTTCATGAGTTATTAAAGATTCAGCTTGATTTGTAGGTGTCAGTTGTTTACTATAATGTAAGCTAATATGACTAGCAGCAGGATACAGCTAATTCAACTCAAAGTTTTTCTTACACTTTTGCTATTCTTTAAAATAGAATGAACTGATTTATTTTATATGCAAATACTAAATATTAACAATATATAAGTCAAGTAATGGCGACGCAGTGGTGCAGTAGGTAGTGCTATCACCTCAGAGCAAAAGGGTCTCTGGTTCGAGCCTTGACTGGGTCAGGTGGCGGTTCTGTGTGGAGTTTGCATGTTCTTCGCTGCGTAAAGCATGTGCTGGATAAGTTGCAGGTTCATTCTGCTGTGGCGGCCCCAAATTAATAAAAGGACTTAGTCGAAAAAAACCAAAAAACGAATGAATGAATGAAGTCAAGTAACTGTAGAGTTGTGTTGTGTCATGTGATTTAAATTCCCTGTATTGAGATCAAACAGTGGAATGTTGCTGCTGTTTCTTTAAATGCTCTCACCCAGCTGACGAGCTACGTCACAGCACATGACCCATATTACAATCACATTTTACCCATTTATTATTTTGACCATTGATATAGGAACAACGCCTGATATGTCAAGTCGTACTGTCCGAAAAGCTTCTCGATAAGGATTGTATAATGGTTTTGCAAGCTGAGTGAAGCGCGAGCGGACAGCGGTATTGACGCAGGGCGGTCACATGAATTTGAACTGAAGATGGCGGACCAGAGCTCAGGAGCATCGGGACAGCACAGCACTGAAGTTTCTGAAACTTTAGTGTCATCTAACGAATTCATCAAACCCCACATGAAGGATAGCGACGGACATAAGGCCATCAGTCCCGAGGAGTCGCTTTCTCCGGCCTCGGTGATTTACTTTAAGGAGGCGCTAACTTATAACTCTAGTATACAGTTTACCAAGACGAGCTCTTCTCTTCCTGCACCAGTGCGCTATGAATTCCAGATTGAGAAGATTAACAAGAAAACAAGAAGTGAGTATATGCTATGATCATCTGCTTATGGGTTCATTTGGCAGGATTGTGTTGGTGTCTTTTGCACTTGAACGCGCAGTAATGTTTGACATGGGCACTGTGGTTCAATGTCAACAACATTGCACAATGACAGGCACTGCGGCGTTTTTTCGTGTTTACATTTTGCTGTTCAGTCTTTTAAAGAGTCCTCGGTTTCTTCTTAGATATATGACTTCTAATTAAGTTAATGAATCAATAGATGACCTACCACTGGCACAAACTGTCATTAGCTTGCAGCGCTGATGCCCACTCGTTGGACAGTTGGAATTTGTATGATGCTCAGATTTGCAGTCTTTTTTAGGTTGTCATTTGGTTTAGTGTGTGTTTTAACATTCATGTATTTCATTTTTAGCTCTTTAGCTATCTTGTGTCATGTAACTTCGATATGTAAATTACAAATAGTCTACATATGCAGTATTTATAAAGTCAGTATTGAATGACATATTGGAGTGGCTGAGATTCTGTGAAGACATCCAATAATTTGCATTTCCATAGGTCCAAATAAGCTTGGGTGTTTTTAATGGTTAAAAAGATATGGAAGCAGAATTGTGTATCATTTTTGGTTTGAAAATTTTCTGTTTTTAAAACTCAGAAAATATGTTTATGTTGATGTCACTTTGAGCTTTTGTGGCTAACTGTGAAATACAGGTGAACCTTGGAAAAACTAAAATAATTGTATAATCTGTATGTCTCGTGTTTTGAGTTCTGACATGCTGTGAAGAAATGACTGGCTAAGAAGAACTGCTGTTTATTTAGGCTTATCAGTAGGGCTAGACAGAATCTGTGGGAAGTTTTTGCTATTTCTGTGCAGAATTTTGTTAAAAAATCTGTGGATTTATGTGAAATGATTTGAGGAGAATCATAACTAAAAACTTAATTTATGAAATTAAAAAAGTAATACATTTTTAACTTTTATTTAATGTTTATAATGCAAATTCAATTAGATCCACTTATTTGGTAAGCTAGGCAAGTCTCATATAATAATCTAAAAGACAGAAAATATTACTTTACAAACTGTATTGTAAATAAATCATATGAACATTTTTATATTAGTCAATAATATTCCTGAAATAATTTAAAAACTGATTAAATATAAATTTACACACATTTAATCAAGTAAATAAATAGACTCAACGATGGGCTAAAAATCTGTGAAAATCTGCGTATTTCAGTGCGCACAGATTTCGTGCGGGCCTACCATCACACACTGGATGCAAAGCACTGTACAATGTCTTTTAAACTTGAACATTATTTTCTTTGAGTGTTTTATACGCTATCATTTGACATTCTTCTGTGTTACTTAGCAAAGAAAAGAAACAATGTAAAGACATGGCACATAGAGATGGGCTTTAGCAAAGTCTTTATTCCGTAGTATTTGGCTTGGAAAAATACTGGAATAATTTTAGGAAATGTTATTGTTTATTGTGGAGAATGAGAACATTAGTCGTGGATTCTTAATATTCCTGCTTTTTTCAATATTTAAAGTCATGAATATTTAGGATTTTTTTAATGTAAAATAATTTATTAAACAATTTATTTGTTTTTATTAGATTTTTTTTGTTAATTTGTATAAATATGTTACAACATAGCACTTATTCAGACATAGACCTTGCAGTAATGAGAATTTCAGGTGAAATGTAGTAAAATAAAAAAGTTTTAATTCTTATGTTGAAATGATACATTGTACTTGGTAGAATAGTTAATTGTCTTTACTCTTATGTTGTATTTATATCACTAAATTAGTAAGTTTTATATTCAAAATCCAAAGGTCTGTGTTGTTTTATTAGTTTCATGAGAATAACCCAATTAGCCTGATTATAATATTTTTTTGTGTAATAGGTGAAATTGAAAATATGATATATTTTCATTTTATGATTGGGAGTTAAATACACTACCTTGCAAAAATTTAGGGTCTCTAATTTTTATTTGAGCTTTTTTTTTGCTCTTTTGTTTTAAAAGAAGTATTTTATGCTTGTTACGTTTTCTAATTTATTATACCATTAAAATATTTTATGCATAATAGAAAAGGTGATTTTTTTCACCATCTTTGCTTGGCATCATTGTTCATTGTTCAGCTCATTCTAATATGCTAATTTGCTGCCCAAGAAACATTTTTTATTGCTTTGTGTACTGTAAATAGGTATGATGAGCTTTGTTTTGTGATGTGCTTTTTAAAAATTTTTATTTAAATTTTTTTAAATGTATTATTTATTATTACTATTTATTATTTTTACATTTGCTTTTAATTTTTTTTTTTTTAAATTGAATCACTATTTAAAGTGATTTGTTTTTTCTTCAAAGAATAGTGTTGGGGCCAGAGCTTACAATACAGCTAATCTGGTGCCTTAGTGGACATTCATAGAGCCATTACAAAATGTTTTTTTTTTCTGTCTAAGAAATGTTTCTAAATATATAAAATATAGATTATATATAATATAAGATTAAATATAAATATATATTTAATTAATGAAAATAAAAATTCATTAATACAGTATAATTGTTTTTATTTCCACTTTATCAATTCAGTCAATCCTTGCTGAATAGAATATTAATTTCTTTCAAAAAACATTTTGTGACTCTTTTGAACAGTAGTTAGTTTGTAGGGCTACATAGAATATAGGTTGAGCGTTGATAATGAATTGAATATTGCAATATTTCACAACAGTCACACATGGCAGGATCTGCGATGTTGAGTTGCCATTGTAATTAACCATGAACCACTGTTCAGAACACTTGTGTGATTTTTGTCATTGCAAAGTTTAACCAGTAAAAGAGTTTCATTTGGATGTGTTTTTAAGGCCTGTGACTGAAACTCAAGCTAATTTAAACCATTTAGACCCAATAAATGATCAAATTTACATCTTTAAGAATGATTATTTAATTAGTCTTACAGTGAAGACTGCAGCGTTATTTCATATTTTGATTTCTGAATTGCTGTACCTCATTACTGTTCGACTCCACAAAGCACTGCCTATTTTATTTATATCTTTGTTGTATTGTATTTTTATGCCTGTAATTACATTTTATTCAGACTATAAAATCATCCCATTCAATATAAACTTCCTTCCAAATAGTTATTTAAATCAAATGTGAGCTTTATATAGCAATGTGTGTAGACAAAATTATCGCAATATCATTGTTTTTAATATTGTACAATCCTAGTTCATACCCAATTTAGGTTCATAAATGGGCTGCTTTCAGTGCTTTTCTTCTGTAAATAATTAATGAGGTTTGCATTATAGATTACTTCTAATATAGTTTAACCCCATTTGATATCAATGTTTGCATGTGGGGTTCTTTTTTCAGTGGCTTGAAAAAACTCTTTGTGTAAGATAAACGATGGGGACGTTGAAGATTTTATTAAAGAAGTTTATTTAGCATAGCAGTCTCAAAGTATACTGCAATAGCTTGGATTTAGTGAAGTTGGAATGAATTCGGAGCATCCTCAGTTCAAACATTTGAAAATTTTTTTAGTTTAAAAGTCTCCAAGAAATAAAACTAACCATATGATTTTTTTTAGCTCACATTGGCAGTTTTGTGGTGGACAATTTATCTGTGTGTCTTTTAAGAAAAAATAGTTTGCCCTTCTAACCTTTAAATGAAATCTGAAACTTATGTGATTTTAAGACAATGGGCATAGCTAACGTTGCTGCAACTGTCAGTTTTGACAACAAACAGAAATGGTGAGGAGGATGAGTTTTTTAGGTTGTAAAACTCTTCTAAAACCCATTTGCTGATCTTTTTGAATGAATTGCCTGCTTTACTACATCCATTTAGCCCACTATAGAAAAAATTAGGCCACACCCACTGTTTGCTCATTTAAAATTCTATTTCTCTTGTAACTTATGAAAATAATAAAAATCACAGCTTGCGGTTTAGGAGGACTTTAATGTAAAGGAAGTTCTTCCTGCTATCATAACTATATCACAGCTCTGCACGTCGCAAAGATATATTTTTGCTGCTTGTTGCTACTTAAAACTAATGAGCAGAATCAACACAATTCTTGAGAATTTTTTTAGCGGACAACTTCTGAAATTAACTTTAATTAGTTAACTTAATTGATTTGTGTTGAGACAACATAAAACAACTGTGTGGAACCCAGCATTTTTTACAGTGTGTATGTTAATGATGTTTCGACACTCCATTGTCTGAGATGCTTTTTTGTGTCCCACACCCATCTCCATTCTAAAGCAGCTCACCGTTTCAAGATGTGATCCTCTCAAACAGTGCAGAAGCAACAAAACTGTTGACTCCCATCTTCTCAAAATAATTTTAGCGCTTTTAGGAAATGAGCATCAACACACATTCATCGTGCAGTGTAATCTAGGTCGGGGCAGAAGACGGTTTCTTACACTTCTCATTGCTCAACAACACCACCCAAAATTGAGAATGGTTCATAATTGTGGCAATATTTTTTTTTTAAACCAACCAATACAAACTTTCATGTTTATTTCACACACATTTAAGCTCTCCTTTAAACATATTCTCTAGTAAAACCAGCTTTATCAGCACAGCTCAGATTTCTTAATCAATATTTCCTCCATCCTTCACTTTTGCGGCTTGTGGATCATTGATAGCAGCCCCCTATCCATTGCCAACAACCCTCAGGCCTCTCGGGACCCGTGTGTGTCCCCCTCCACCATCTGCTCACGTGATTCCCACAATCCTCCTCAGCATCACTGCAGCCATCTTGCTTAACACCCTCCCATCTGCAGCGCTCTCAGCCAATCATGCGAAAGCAAGCGGCTGGGCTGTGAGCAAGGGAGGGACTGAGAGAGAGAGAGACGTCTATGATTGTAGCTCCACTGAGGCTCACACAGCATCTCAATCCCCTGGCTGTGCTGAGCCAGAAAACACTCAAAGCCATTATTCACAGGCGAGGATTGTAGCTGTCGTTGCTCATTTACAAGACGAGGCCAGTGTTGAGCCCTGGAAGAATAACACCCCTTTTTGTCAAGCTTGTCGTGAACTGCTGGTGGATTTTTTTCTTCTCTCCTTTCTTTCGTTTCTCTTGCCTCTCCTTTTTCATTCTTCCTTTGTTTTGGACAAGACTCTTGGTCGAAGTGGATCGGAGAAGACAACAAATCACTCCTCTTCCTTGCACCTGACTCTTCCGGCCATCGTGAGTGTTGTTTTCGTCGCAGCTCCAGCTATCAGCTGAGTCACCATGTCTGATCTGACGCCCCAGAGCGAAGCCCCCACCCCCACCACTGACAAGATCACACAGGCTGCCAGGGAGACCATCTACCTATGCAACTTCCGCGTGTCGGTGGATGGCGAGTGGCTGTGCCTGCGAGAGCTCAACGACATTTCGCTCACGCCAGATCCCGAGCCAGCTCATGAAGGTAGGAGCTCACAGCATCACTAGGCCTCCATGACTGTTTTGGTGCTGGGCGGTGCTGGCCCAGCCTTCCACCATCACGCTCTCAGCCGTCCCTTCAGGCCTGCCTGGAAATGTAGTTTTTAATGCAGCTCCACTGTTTGTGTGTGTGAAGGTATTTTCCTATACACTGAAGGATTTGAGAGAAGCATTTGGGGTTTTGCAGCTTTATTTAAATTCAGTTACAATCACATGGAATAAATTAAGCAGATGCTTCAGAATGAAAGTCATTCCTGTGTGAAAGTAAACTCAAAAATGTAACTGTAACTCCTGACTGTGACTTTTAGATTCATTGGTTGCAATACATTTAGTTTCTTAAAGGTGAAATAAAAAAAAATTGATGTTAGTTTTAAGGATATTTATAAGTTGGAGTGCTCCGAAACAGTGACAAAATTTGCATTTAAAAACGTATAAGAAATGATGTAAACATCTAAAGCTTGCCGTCACTTTTGCCTAATTTCTCATCAAATCCCGACCAATCAAAGGCTCTCTAGCATCCGACATACCCTGCCATGCAAATAAATGTTTCAAAGCACTTCACTGGACCTAAAGGTGAAATAGGCCTGTTCTCAGCAAAAGAAGCTGTATTTGTAGAGGTAGCAATAATATTTTGTTCCTATATTAAGCACAGTTTGCACTGAAATTCTTACATTTGTTTTGTTCTTATGTCTGTCAGTGTTTTTGTTGCTCATTAGATGGAACAATTTCTGAAAGGGATTCCTGTGAATTTGTTCCTCTTTATTTTTGAGGCGTTCGATGAGCATGAATCATAGAATTATAATGGTTATTAAAACTTTATAGGATTTTGTAGTGAGTATTAGTTTTGTGTGAATAGTAAAAAGCGGTAAGAAAGAAGTTGGCATCCTGAAGAAACTCTAACTGAGTCGAGGGGAAAGTAAAATTATGTAACAAATAAGAAAAAACAGTCTGGACATTGAGAATTATTAATATTTTGTCAGAATTATTAATATTTTGTATTTCATCCATCCATCCATTCACAGATTTGTTTTTTCAAGTTGCTCAAGTTTTTGTGCAAACCAGGTTCGTTACAGATGAATCACAGATTATTTTGTAAAACTTTCAAAGAGGATGTCAGAAAAGCAGTCGTGCGAATCCAAGGGAGATGGTCCTGAGATTCCTTATCAATCAAATGTCCTGAAGGGATGCGATCAATAAGTAAAGAAAAAAGAAGATAGATGCAACCAGAATCCACATGTTAAGATTAAGAGCAACAGTTATTTCAGTCTAATGTATTTTATTATCTTCTGCTGAGCAGGAAACCGGCTTGTAGCAAGATCAGGAATAGAAGATATTATTTGAAATAGTCTGTTTGCAGTGTTCTCCTTTAAGATAACTATAAACTTTATTAGTTGTTTGTTGGTCATAGACCTTTATTTACATGGATTGCATCACATTTGAACGGTTTGACCTATTTGTCTTTTCACATTCACATTGCAGTAAACCTCTATCTTCAAAGAACCACTTTTTCCACCAGGTTTCATAGAAGTTATATCTGTCTCTTTTCTTAGCGATCTCTCCTGTATTTTCTTCAGAGGTGGTTTACATAAATATGACATATATGACTGTAAATATTGGTTAGTTGCCATTTTACCTTGGTCTGTTTCACTGCATGCAGACGTTCTTTCTTTGTAATGTGTTTGGTGTGTTCTGCCTCATTAGGTATCATGGTTTGTTTGATCCCCCCCCACCCTCACAGCCAAGCAATTTAGAAAATCTTAATAAAACTGTTCACCTAAAACAGAAAATTATTACAATTTACACTCCTTGTGTGTTGTTTCAGACCCCCATGACTTTCTTTTGGATAACACAAACAAATGTTGACTTGACTTAATTTTGTATGGCAAAACAAATTTTGTATGGTGACAAATCAGTCATTTGTGTTTTTTCAAAACAAAAGAAGAAGTCACACAGGTTTGGAACAACCCCTGTATTTCTTTCCTTCTCTATTTCTGTATTTTTTCTGTCTTTCTGTATTTTTTTCTTTCTCTATTTCTTTCTACATTTCTTCATGTGTCTCTTTCTTTCTTTCTTTCTTTCTTTCTTTCTTTCTTTCTTTCTTTCTTTCTTTCTTTCTTTCTTTCTTTCTTTCTTTCTTTCTTTCTTTCTGTCTTTTTCTTTTTCTTTCTCTTTTTGTGTCTGTTTTTCTGGCTTTGCCTTTCTTTATGTTTCTTTTTTTCTGTATTTATTTACTTTTATTTCTCATTCTGTAGGTAAAGAAGAAATGCTGCATTCTTTGATTAGGCCTTGTGTCTAATTAATTGATGTAAATAATAATAAAGTAGTCAGTAGAGCATTTTCTGAGGTCCTTCTATAAGCCCTGATCAGATCACTCGAACTGGTCAGATCTGTCTCTATTTTCTTGACGTAGGGTGTTGTGGGGAGTCATAAATGACAAATGGGCATAGTGACACAAGATTCTACATGTAATGTGGCATAGTTCACGACAGCCGATACCATGTCTGTGACGCTTCACAACACCATCGCAGGAAGTCTAGCTTGTTTAATTTTTTCACCAATCTTCACATTGAGTTCCGTCATGTGGGTGAAACTGGACAGTAAGAGCACAGAATTTTTCAGTTATATCTGTGGATACTGCTGTTAATCCGTGGGTCAGGTATTTAAAAAAAATAGGCTGCATATTTACTTATGAGTGGGTCTCAGGTGGATGAGTTCAATCATTGGTTATGCAAACTTTAACTACTTTTTCTAAAATATTAATGTTTTAAGCAAATTTGTTTGACAGACTGGTACAAATATACAGACATCTCCATTCTCACAACGAGTTTCTGAGGTCTCTCAACCTTCCGACCAAGTTTGTTCTTCCAAGGTAATCTGGGAACACGTTTAGTGCTACTAATTCATTGCATTTCCTGCTTATTCAAATTACATGATTAATCCAATTGAACTGAAACTCACCAGCAATCTATGATTTTGTCATTAACAGTGAAAACAGTTTAATATAAGTTTATCTGAAACTGAATATTTCATTTGAATTTTATTTAAGCTAGATTTTATTTTATTTAACAAACCAGTTTGTGTTTTCGCGCTGAAGTATATATCGGACTGATTTTGAAGCACTTTCACTTCAGATGTTATTCGTTATTCTTGGTTCGTTATCTACTAGATAAACAACAAAAAAATTAAGATGCAAATTATACCAAATAAAATACATTTCAAAAAGAACATTTTTCCAAGAAAAATATACAAATAATTTTTTTGTTTGTGCCCATCCATTACTCAACTGTGGAGGTGGATGATTTGTTTTGTTCACTGGAAGAAAAGGATTTAATTAATGCTTCACTGTAATTGTTGTATCACAATCCTCTGTCATATGTTTGCTATTTTTTATATATCATTATTTTGTCTTGAGCATCTGATTTTTCCTTGGTGCTGGTGTGCTTTCATTTTCTCCGTCTCGAGGCAAGTTCAGGCAAGGGAGTGTTTATTAAGCAACACATGGCTGGATAATATACATTTAGATTTAAAAGAAAATATCTTAATATTAAAAAGGAAATATATGTTTGAATCTATTAATCTCATATCGAATTACCTTAAATAATGTAGCCTAGTTAGGAAGCATCAGTATTCGTTGAGATTGACATAACATAAAAAACATTGAATTTAACAAGATAAGAAATATTGTTATCATAACATATGTGACTTCTTTGGGAAATAACACTTGCCCTAGACGTCATGGCATAATTGATCATAAAGGAACATATAGTCTGGCACACTTGTTACCCATGACAAGTCAAGATCGTCAAGTCGGATAATCTGTCATAGTGAGTTTTGTAGCTGACAATAAAAATCATGTGGTCTGATCAGAGCTTAAGTCAAAATACTTAATAGTAGCTGTCTTCCAACACAAAATTATAATTAGCTTTTAAGGACTATTGACACTCAGGCTGCTATTATTAGCTTCTCCTCTAGTGCTTCTGAAGACATTCACTTGGAGAAAATATGTGCTAATATTAAACGGTGAGAGAGAACAAGCTTGGCTTTGTAGAATCATGTTCCTATAACATAATGCGTGTTCCCTCTTGTTGTTGCTTTGGTTTACTCCCATGATGTGCATGACCCAATCCTTTTCTGCTTTTTTTTCTGTTTTTCATTGCCTTTTGCAAAGACTCATGGGAGGATTTCACAGATTTGGTGGAGCAAATGCAAATGCTTGATGAGTTTAAAGGTGCGTATGGTGGCATCATTCACCCCAGTCCACCTCATCCCTTCCTCGGGCACCATCCTAAAACCACAGCAGGTGTAGCTGTTTGGCCCTGTCTTTACCGAATCGGCCTCCCTGAATGGCACATTCACAGCACAGCTTCCAGAGCTTTTCCTCTTGTTCTCATGCTGATAAATTCTTGCTCTGTTTGTCCATCTCTATGATCATCCATCCTTTTTAAAATTTTAAATTAATTTTTCATTAATAGCATTTTCATTTTTCTAGCTCTCTTATTGTTAGCAAAATTTCTGGTGACTCATTTGGGTGCATTGCTCTTGTCTGGCTTAATTTTTTTTGGCTGTCTCACTGCCTCACCCCATTCTCTGGCTGGTTTATTGCATGATTTTACCAACATTTTATGCCCATAGTTAAAATTGTTTGGATTTAGGCCTGTAATTCAAAGAATTTGAATTGAATGCAGAGAAAATGTCTGTGTCTCTGTGTCCTGACAGAGTCTGACTTTGTTTTGGGTAGTTTGTTTATCCCTTGCGTAGGCTTGACTCAGTCTTTAACATGTAAAGCTTCACCCTTTGGTTTTAATAGCTGGTGAATCCTACAGCGTCAGTTGGATTTTCTTTACATTTGACGGTCTTGGAACATCATAGTTTTTGTTGTTGCAGTGATTTAAGATGATTGTATGAGGAATAGTTATTTCAAATAACAAGACTTAATCTGACATCTTTATAATTGTTTTAATTTCTTCTTCATTTCAAGTCAATATGCTGTGGAAAACAACCCTCCTGGAAAATTTTGTCAAGAAGTAGTTTTATACATTTAAAATTTCTAGTTTTCATGAATTTATATAAACTATTTATACACAGTCAGATGAAGGGATTTTGAAGTAAAAAGGTTTATAGCCTTTTTCCTCAGTGCTCTCCTTTATATTGTCCTTTATATTCCTTTCCCTCAATTCTCTCCTAAAAAACATCATTGCTATTGGCTAACAGAAATGCATTGAAAGACTTGATGATGAAATGATTGCATTACTGTGGGTGTGTTTTGAATTAGGGTGAGGCCTGAGAACTGAAGCTCAAAATTCAATTCAGTAAAAATTAATTTACTGTACTTCATGCAATTTGTTATGCATTCCTTGTTAGGTTGCATTGTATTTTATTTTCCCTAAAACAATCATCTCTTTTGTCACTTTTATCTGAAACATGGTTTAGATGCTAGGACGAAATTCGTTCACATCTTCTGTTTGATCATTTTACACGGCATCAAACAGAACTTGGTAATGTAACCTGAGTCAGTTGGATTGCTCTTCAAGTCTTTTCTTTTAGTTTTTTTTTTTTGTTTTTTTTTTGTGAGAAGTACTTCAGTCAAACCCATCATAATCTGCTTATTATGTTATGATTTATGTGCAGGACATGTCACATTGAGAGCATTGTGTCATATATAACTTGACATCTTATTTCATGTTTGAATTTCTGCTTCATTCTAGATCCCAAGGATCCCATTGCCATTGAGAGGCTTAACCTGATGAACATGGCTAAACTAAGCATTAAAGGCTTGATCGAGTCTGCACTGAACCTGGGCCGCACACTGGACTCAGACTATGCCCCATTGCAGCAGTTTTTTGTTGTCATGGAGCACTGCCTGAAACACGGACTAAAAAGTAAGTTCAGCAAATCTATGGAACAAAATCAATGCCTAAAGTCTTGAATTAAAAAGCTTGTTGAATATCACAAACTGAAAAAAATAATACACCGTATTAACAAGTTCTTGCATTTTAATGACTTGAATTCCAGGGTTTGTATTTTTAGTAGTGATGTAACGGTATTGTAAATACCGTCATACCGCAATATTAATTTTTTTCGATATTACCGAAGTCGCATGACTCGGTAAAACTATAGGTCTTCTGAGAAAATTTGCTCAGGCGAATGAAGCGAACGGGAGGTAACGAAAACTACAATTGCCATCAGCCCATGCTTGACCATCATCCCTTGCGGTCTGTTGTTGCTACAGATCCAGTAATGCGGAAATGGAGTGTGCTGCTAGAAGCGGGGATGAAAAGAGCTGGAAAACTCTAAAGCAGGTCGCACACCAGAAGCGCCGCTCGGCGCCGCGACACGGCGCGTACATGACAGATTAAAGTATCGCAAACCAGACGCGCACATTCGAATGATATTTAACATGAAACTAATCAGATGGCGCTCTGTGGCGCGGCTGAAAAATGAACTGCGTCCTGAGCCGTCGCCGGGCGCCGCCGACAGCCGCCGACTTGCGGCGCCGGTGTGTGTATCCTGATAGAAACCTATAATTAGAATTCTAAAATACGTGGCGCTGCACGGCGCGCCACTGAGCGTCGCTTCTGGTGTGCGACCTGCTTTACACGCACAGTTCAGTCCTGCATTATCTCCGTGTAAGTTCAGACTTCGCAAGTTTGATCAAGGCTGCAGTCTCTTCTTCTCAGTTTGATATGGAAAAGCAGATTATACAGAGGACACGGGTAAATCTTCAAAGGGAACAGTGTACTTTGTAACTTCATTCACATCACCCTGGCTTCGTTGTTTCACTTTCTCAACAATAAAATGTAAACATGATTTAAGGAACTGCCTATTTTCATTTTAATATTAGCAACTTAGACAGCAGAAATGTTGAGGCGTCGTGCTGCATGAGTGTCATCTTCACTGTGTGGATATTTATAACAAAACGGAGCCGATAACAACTGCCTCCTTTCAATTTCAGTGAAAATACGAAACACAGCCTCTCTTTTGCTGAATATCAGTTTTAAGAATCGATAATGGCCATTTTAAAAGTATAACATACAATAAGTTTTTACATTATAGGAAATAAAGGCGATCAGTCAATATACAGAATGTACGTGGTTACATTAATCATTAACTTATCTTTGCGCTCAGCCAAAACACGTTACCTGAGAACAAGTAATAGATTCCAATGCCCAAAGTCAGGGAATATGTCGTTAGATAAAGACAACAAGATAAATGAAATATCCCGTTTAATAAATATAGTGAGATTAGATCCAGCGGGAGATGCTTGATGAGAAGTCCGACTAGCAGAGCTCTCATCTGGGTAGATGGGCTGAGTGTGATTAAATGTTGAATGTGGTGAGTTTTCAACAATACTAAATTGAAACTTTATTTTTTTACATGGTTTAATATTTTTTTTGTTATTAAAATTGAAGTTCCTGTTTCAAAGCTTACAGATAGATGGCTAATTTGTATGTCATTGACACTTTTGGCACTTTTTTGGAGTATTTTCATAAGTTTTGTTTTTTCCTGTAAATGATTCAATAAATACCGTACCGTGACATTCATACCGAGGTATTACCGTACCGTGAAATTCTGATACCGTTACATCCCTAATTTTTAGGTCTTGAAATTTAACATATCTGTTTATTTAAGCTGTGAATATTTCAACGAAAAATATTTCAAACACGTTTTCATACTTAAAAATTCAATAATTCATATTCAATTTTCAGATTTCACTTAAAAAATATTCAATACCCTTTAAAAATACGATGTATAATATTCAAAAGGTCATTTTCAGTTCATTTTATTTCAGTTCTAATATTCGCTTCCATAAATTCAGTGGATCAAATTCGACTGATAAAATTCAACATTACATCCGGGAACTGCAGGAGAAGCAATAGATTGCAGATTGAAGATCGCCAGCTGCTCTAGCTTTCACCAGCAGGTGGAGATGGAATAATGTAAGATTTTTAACCCAGTAAACAAGCGAGAAAAAGGCTAATAAAGGCACAAAAGTAGCATTCAATTTTAATATCAATGCCTTGGACATTATAAATAATAAAAAGTATGAGTAAAATGAGTAAATGAGGTTTTAGTCATCTATATTTGCCCTTATGTAACGGAAGCCAGCTGGTGATCGCATAAAGCTCACTCCTCGGATCCAGGGACAGACGTTGTTCTGCAATCTTATCGGAGCTTGTCTCCCATGCTGGCTCGTTACCTGCTCGGACCGGTGCGGTTACTTGCACATAAACCGTCTTTTGATGAATATGATGTTACACATTGTCTATCTTTATTGACTCTTTCTTCCATAGACGCTAAGTATTATATTGACAGCTAAAGAATATAAACGTAAGAGAAACAGGAGAGGAAATATTATAATAATAATACAAAATAGATAAACATTGACAGGGCTAAGAACAATTACGAACAAAGATTTTCAAAACCAGAGAGATTTTATGAGAATGTCACAAAACAGTTTACTTGGAACTGTTAAACAGTGTTCAGGTATGATTTAAGGTTGGTTATGGATGGGGCGTCTAATTTCAATAAAGATATTAATCTTTGTATCTCCATACAAATCCCAGCTTAAATTCCAGTATGTTCATTGCATAATAATAGTATGACCATTTGGTCATTAATTTTGATAATTGCTGATTAGACAGTATTTTGTATGTTTCATATACTATTTGTAATCATGTATGTATAGTGTGCCAGAGTTTTTATTTTATTTTTTGCATTGCATTGGAAAATGGTTTACAGTGCAGGCAGTATTTAAAGAAACACTCCTCTTTTTATATGTGCTAATTGTACAACTCTCCTAGAGCAGGGGTTTTCGAACTTTTAGAACAATTGCCCCCAAAAGTTTGTTTAATTTCAATCATGCCCCTCAGACACCCCTCCATAGAGCCAAAATTATAATGCATGCGCAAACATCCTTCACATATTACTTGCTGTGTTTAAAGTGCATAGAATTAATTACATTGAAACATAAATATAGCTTACCTGATTCAGTGTGATGGCTCAGCCTTTTTCTGTGAGGACAACATGCTAATCGGTGGTCAGATTCCTGACACAACTAACCGCAAATCATCTATTATCTGTCAATAAGAGTGAGCCATAGCATACTTGCTTTTGATGTACGTACAAACAGAAAATGCTGCTTCGCAAAGCCAAGTTCACAGAGCCCTGACGGTGTGGTTGAGTCGAACATTGAGTATGTTTACATGGGAAACAATACTTTAATATGATTTTAATAGGATTAAGACAATAGTCTGATTAAGAGACTACCATGTAAACAGCAATTTCTGAATACCTTAATCTGATTAAAGTCTGAACTAAACAGAAATGGAATTAAGATGTGGAGTGTGCATATATTAGTGGCTTTATTGAAGTAAACACCGCAATCCAACTATTACCGTCATGTAGGACTTTTCGCTGCATTTTGTGACAAGATCCACACACGCGGCTGTTAGTAAAGGACCACACACACACACACACATGAAATGCAGAAGGTTTTTGTCTTTCTATTCGACGTGCAGTATCAATAAAACCAACACTTTTCCACCGGTCATACATATATGCATCAAATACTCCAGTTTATCATTGGGGCATGAATGAAATGTTTATGAGTGAGTGTGAAACTGCGAAACTGCATTTAAAGTCGAGAAATTGAAGATGAAACATCCAAAATTACATGCAGGAAACGTGGATAGCCTGGTTCATTGAAGGGACATTAAACATTCAAAAAGCACTTTACATAATTATATTATTGTCTTATTTAGATTAAGGCAAATAATTACATAACTGATGTCCATGTAAATGTAGTCAGTAGTCTTCAAGGTAACTGAAAGAGCCAGATGGGCATCCTGCTGATTTCATTCAGAAGGGCAGTTTTTGTTCAGACGGCTCACCGGTTTGACTTTCATTAATTCACCGTCATTCGTTTTAAAAAACACCTGCTTTATTTTAGTTTTATATATAGCAGAACACATTAACTCAACAGGTGCCTGATAGTTAGCAGTGGAGCTAACACTATTCATATTATTCCATCTAATGATCACATAAAAATTGTCATCATAATTTACTCGAGTGCACGCCTCAATGTCTCGCGCCTCCCTTAATATGTGCTGGCCCCCCCTGGTGGGGCTCGCCCCACAGTTTGAAAACCCCTGTCCTAGAGTAAAGGCCCTTTTATATTTCAAATGAAATTGAAGAACGAACTGAAATTCCATAATTTCAAACAAAACCCAAATGAAACTAGGCCCTTTTAGGTTTTTGGCAGTTCAAAACATCTCACAAAAGTGAACTTCACTTTGACTCATAAAAATATTTGAGCTACCATTGCTACATGACTCTTACCCAATCAGTGTTTAGGTTCTGGAACGCCCCCTTAGACCTACACATTTTTTCAGTACATCAGGATCAAATGGGAGAACAGCATCCAAAACAACAACAACACCACCAATAAACTGGAGGACAGAGGAGCAGAACTGGTGATGTGATGCTCTGTGGTGGTGCTTTCGATGGAGAAGCCTGTTTGCCAGATATTTATGAAACTGTTCTTCTTTCACAGTCACCATTGTCGAGCTGAATGACACATTTACAAGTTACAACACTGTGTACTGGTGTTTTCTAACCTGATATGGCTAGGAACCATACTCTCATTCAATAATCAAGTAATAATGAAGCAAATTCACTGCAGTTCCATGTCTGCAGCAGGTGCATTGATATTACACAGTGTCACTGGCACACACACCTTGTGCAAGCAGGTGGTCACATTGGAAGTTACCTTGTTGGTGACTATTTTCGGGTTCTGCATAAAATGTCCTTGTACCTGCTGCATTCATGGTAAGGCAGGAAGGCGTCTTGATCATGAGAGTATAATGCCTAGAATGAGAGTATAGTTCTTACCCATGTTGTCCCCATATTGTATCTTCATGCTTTGAGGGGATTGTGCTACCCACTGCGTCACCGTGACTCCCTCTACAATTTTAATTTTGAAAATTTTTTTAGGTAAGAAAACGTTCCTTGGGCAAAATAAGTCATTTTGGGGTCCTTTGGAGCTTGTAGAAAAATTGACTCCAGAGGCTGGTGAGATCACAGCCAGTGTCAAAGACCTTCCTGGACTCAAGTAAGAGAATGTTTTCAATCTGAACATAGCAATTATTTTATGCTTGCTGTGTATCAGCCTAAAAACTTGTTTTCTTTTTTTCTCAGAACCCCATTAGGAAGAGGCAGAGCATGGCTTCGTCTGGCTTTGATGCAGAAGAAGCTCTCAGATTACATGAAGACCATAATCAACCGAAAAGACCTGCTTGGGTACAGTTCCTGCTTTTTAATTAACTTTTATTATGCTCTTTAAACATTATTTTGCATCTCCCATATTCTGTAATAGCCAGAAAATCTGAGCACATCACACTTGTCCTAAGGTCTTTGCATTGGCTCCCAGTTACATTCAGAATAGATTTTAAAACATTATTACCTGTCTATAAATCACTAAATAGCCTAGGACCTCTATAAATTACAGATATGCTCACTGAATACAACAGGTCACTCAGATCTTTAGGATCACATAAACTAGAAATTTCAAGAGTTCAGTCAAAGCAGGGTGAATCGGCCTTCAGCTAAGCCCCTTGCTGCTGGAATCAGCTTCCAGAATTGATCAGATGTGCTCCAACATTAGGCACATTTAAATCAAGACTGAAAACGCATCTGTTTAGCTGTGCTTTTACTGAATGAGCACTGTGCTACATCTGACAGATCGCAATATTGTGTCTTTCTTTTCTTTTTAATTCTTTTATAACCTGTTTTAACACAATTTGATTAGTTTTTAATGTTACGACCCTGTTTTCCCTTTTCTTCCCTTTCGGTGGTCTCACAGTGTGACGTCACAGTTAATTAGTTCATTTACGGGTGGTGGATGTATATATTTGAATCTTTTGTGAAGAACGACACTTCCTCTGGTGGAGATTTATTCCCCAGAGAGGTCATTTTGTTCTAACTGTTTTGTTTTGTCACCTTATATTTGTGTGTTCTAGAGTGTTGTATTTTGTTGAGAGAATTTCAGCTGATTTCTTATTTATTTCTAATCCCTTGACAGTTTGTTATATTTGGTCATTCCCTTTAATAAATGTGTATTTCATTATATGCCTTTTTAGTGAATCTGATCCTTTTTATGGGACGGTCAGGAGCGAGCTCATTTTTAATTCTTTTAATCATTTTTATTTTCTTGTTTCTTTTATTCATGTTTATGTTAAGCACTTTGAATTACCATTGTGTATGGAATGTGCTATATAAATAAACTTGCCTTGCATTGTTTTGCCTAATATAGCTGTTAGTGTAAGTCCCTGGTGTTCATGCAGACCAATTATGAAAATCCATTAGAACAGTTTTCAACCTTTTTTTTCTTTTTTTTGGCCTGAGACACCTTTTCCCCTTGAAAATTGTGTAAGCAACCCCCAACATTTAATAATATTATTGCTCATATAAGTTTGCAGTTAGGATGACAAAAGAAAAATTGTTTTCAAGCAAACTTTATCTATGTTTATGCACAAATAATTGCCTAATATAAAATGTAGCTCCCTGATTCAATAAAGGATTGACTCTTTCACTGGTGTTTTCCCCATGATTTATTTTCAGTACAGCATTCACTTCACTGACGCCGTCATCTACATCAAACACCTTACACCGTAGGCCAAACACCTTTCACCATACTCCGAGCACATTGCACCATACGGCTAACACCGTAAGAGCTTGTATACAAAGAGAAAATTAAACCAAATGTAAGCAAATATGAAAACCGTATACAAACAAGCAGACATCACTTAAACTCAATATACAAACTCAATACAAACAAACAAACATATTAAACGAAGTATCAGTACCTTGTTCTCCAATCAAACCAGAAGCTAAACCTTTAGTCCGTAGCAGACCGCACAGCTGGGACGCCGTGATCATGTGCGATCTTTCTGTGTCTGTTTATATCCGTAATGGTAATTCATTCAAAAAAAGACTTCCGCTTTTACACTTTACACTTCGTAACATAAATACCAAAAATATCAAATATACATATAATAAAGGAGAGAGAGAGAGAGAGAGAGAAGTATATACACAATATAAACATATTGTAGAAATGATACAATAACAAAGACACCATGTCAAAGTTATGAACATAAAATATAACAGCAAAACATCAGTAGGCCATTTGTAACTGAAAAACGTAAGCCTTTTGCCAATTTTTTTTAAGTTTCTTAAAGTTTCTTGTCAGTAGCTGTGACGTCCCTCATCTCATTTTGAATGTGTGTCAATTCTTTTGCCTTTCGCTCAAAAAATACTCTGGGCTTATTGCGATATTGGGAATAAGTCGTTTGTGAATGTTTTATTAATTTGGACAGACTCATGCATTCGTTAGAAAGAACTTACGCAGATAAATAAACTGTGGCTGGGTCAGGGACTCTTTGCTTCGAGAAAATAAAATCATAGTTCAGGTAGTTATCTTGGTATTTCCTCCATTCATGTGTTCAGTATTGCTAGTGCTGCGACCCAAAATGTTTGCAGCTTTCTTACCTGGGTTCAGTATGCTTGTGTCATTAGTATTGACTGTTGCAGGTGAATCAGTGAGACTCTGAAATTTGTCCCTTTTTTTTTGGTCAGCCAAGATGACAAAATAGCTCGCTGAGGCCCCCTTATGGGTCGGGACCCCCCTGTTGGGAACCGCTGCCTTAGAACATTCTGCAATAAGGCACTTTAATATAAACGCTGTAATTGTGGTTGTGTGAACCAGATTTGGCAATGTTTTATGTTTACCGTTGTTGTTGTTTCTCAGTGAATTCTACGAGCCCAATGCACTCATGATGGAGGAGGAAGGAGCTGTGATTGCTGGGCTGTTGGTGGGCCTGAATGTCATTGATGCTAACTTGTGTATGAAGGGAGAAGATTTAGACTCGCAGGTATTTATTACTTTCTTTGTACTCTACTTAAGCAATGGAGGACAACAGATGATTGTGTAGAGCATTATCTTTATTGCATTGTCCTTCTCCCAAAGTGCCAAATGGTAATTATATTAGTTTTTTACAGGGTACTAAGATCTCCTCTCTCTTATTAGGTTGGGGTCATCGATTTTTCCATGTACCTGAAAGACGGCGCACACAGCAGCAAAAGCACAGAGGGGTAAGTTCATTTTTTCACTTCCTCAATTGAACTAGTTGTTTTAGTCTGACAGGTTTCGTGAAAAATCTCCATACTTCCTCTAAAGTAAGTCTTTGCTTGCAGCGATGGACAAATCACAGCTATTCTTGACCAGAAGAATTATGTGGAGGAACTGAATAGACATTTAAGGTGCGGTGGGTTTACCCTTGTGGGTGTATTTGTGGCTAGCTGCTCATTTGGAAAGCATTGTCACGTTGTCTTTCTAAATTCCTCTTTCACAGTGCATCGGTGAATAATCTGCAAGCCAAAGTGGATGCACTGGAAAAGTCTAACACAAAACTTACAGAGGAGGTGGGTAAAAATAGTTGGTTAATGGACTGATTAAGTTGTGGGAAATAAGTGCATGGAAAATAATTTAATAAATGTTAATAAATAATTTCTAAACCTGCAGAAATCACATCACATATTCAAGCACAGATGTTTACTCTTGCCTACTCTTGGTGTTTGTAAGAATTTGGTATTGAACGGATATTCTCACTCACTATTTACTCACTCTTGTGTGCTTTAAAATCTTTGAGTTTCTTTCCTGTTGAACACGCAATAATACATTTTTAAGAAAGTCGAAGACTAGTAAAAATTGACTTCCATAGTAGGAAAACCAAATACTACAGTATAAAAAATGATTAGATTACAGGTTTACAGCATTCTTTAAAATAAAGTCAAACAAAAAAGAAAGCCAAACAGGTTTAGAACAATTGAAGGGTGAATGATGAATTTTCTGCTTCGAACTATCCCTTTAAGAGGTCTCATGCTTAAGAGGCTATATATAAATGATCTATTCCAGTGTTTCTCAGCCACTTTACTGGGGGACCACCAACGCTGCATGTTTTGAATGTCTCCTTTATCACACTCATTACAAGACTTTTAGGACTTTCTTAGGACACTGAACGCATCTTGTGAGAGATGAGATGCTGCATTCTTCCTGATGGTCACATGACCTTCACGTATTTTTATTGGAAAATTATTCAAACATCACAGCATCAAACACCAGCGATTTACTGTTTTTTTTTTTTTTCACTTTTCAATATTTATATATAACATGCACAAATACATTACAAATATGCTTTGCACAATACAACTAAAACTGATTTTATTATTAAGAATTTGCAAACTCCCTTAATGTGTTTATTCCTCTAAGACTTTCATGGTAAATGCTTACTTTACTGTCTCATTTAGGGAAACTGCTGTGATGCGTGTTATCTCTGAATTTAAATAATGAATCTGTATAAAATGCTGCTCTTCCTAACTCCTTTATTCAGCCGCAATGACTTCTGGGATGAGAGCATTGCTTAAGTCTGCATCAACGTATCCTCTATCAAGAACACATCTGGGAACTTTCACGCATCCTCCGTTCTTGCGGTCTTGAGTTTTGTAACTGAACTTTGACAGTTGATGATTATGTTACACGAGAACAAAAGGATGCAAGAACGCTGAAGAACGCATATTAAGAAACAGCCATGAAAAATGTGCAGAGCTGCTGCTTCTCCAGGAATGTGGTCGAGATTATGAAATTGTAGCAAGTTTTATTAAATGTTGTAAAAGTTTCAGCAATTTTCAGCAAAAGTTGATTATGGTTCAATAGCACAATGTATGCTACTTCCAATAACACAAAATATTTATTGCAGCTAGTGTAAAAGGTCTGCAAAGTTTTATCCAAAACAAATTGATAGAAATTCCAAAAACAAAAAAACTTCTCTGACCACATTTCTAGAACTGCTCGATCGTGCAGATTCGCACTCTATAACATCAGAAAGGTCCGACCCTTCCTATCTGAACATGCAGCTCAACTGCTTGTTCAAGCTCTTTTTCTCTCCTGACTGGATTATTGCAACTCTCTACTAGCTGGGCTTCCAGCTAACTCTATCAACCTCTTCAGCTGCTTTAGAACGCAGCAGCACGAGTGGTCTTTAATGGACCTAAAAGAGCACATGTCACTCCGCTACTCATCCGTTTGCACTGGCTGCCAGTTGCTGCTCGCATCAAATTCAAAGCTCAAAGATGGAGCTTCAAAGCTGATGTTTGCCTACAAAGCGACCTCTGGCTTTGCTCCTTCTTATCTGCTCTCACTTCTGCAGATTTATGTGCCCTCCAGAAACTTGCGTTCAGTGAATGAACATCGCCTCGTGGTTCCATCCCTAATGGGGAAGAAATCAGTTTCCCGAACTCTCGCATTCAATCTGCCCAGTTGGTGGAATGAACTCCCTAACTGCATCAGAACGGAAGTCACTCGCTGTTTTCAAGAAACGTCTAAAAACTCAAGTATTTAGTCTCCGCTTTCCTTACTAATCTGCAATTGCCTCTCTGGATATACCAATAACTGTACTCAAATTTTTTTTTAAAAATTACTAATGCTTTTCTTTTTGGACTAGACCTAGACCTGAAACTTGCCTATAGCACTTATTCATTGTTGCTCTTATAGTTGTGTAAATTGCTTCCTTGTCCCCATTTGTAAGTCGCTTTGGATAAAAGCGTCTGCGAAGTGACTAAATGTATAATGTAAATGCGAACGCAAATACAATTCCAACCTGACCTGAATGTCACATTTGCATATACCACAAAAAACTGCTAAAAAAACTGCTTCATTCGGCTATGATTTTCTCAAGCTTTACTTGTTTTAAACCTTTTGAGTTTCATTCTTCTGTTAAACGCAGAATAAGATATTGTGAAAAATGTTCACCTATAACCAAAGCCTCCAGTAGTATTTGTTTTCAATAGATATAAGTTTTCAGTTGTCTTCAAAATATCTTGTAACAGAAGAAACAAGTGGTTTGAAAGCACTTGAGAATGAGTAAATTGTTATTGAATTAAGTGTTACTTAAGCGTAGACACTGAAATAAACTCACACATGGCCACACAGGACATGGTTTGTGTCACTAGTTAAAATTGCTCGATTCTCAGGATTTGAACATTCTATGAGACATTTGGGATAATGTAAACACATATGTTATCCAAGTATATAAGATCGTATTAGTCCTTTTTATATATTTTTATAAAACAGTCATACATATTGTGGTCTTTATGTAGGTAGATAATAGCTGTTAGTAGGCAATAATTCATTTGTTAACTCAACTATGTGTGCACATTCTGTTTCTTGTTTAGCTTGCTGTTGCAAACAACAGGATCATCACTCTGCAGGAAGAACTGGAAAGAGTAAAGGAAGAGGGCTCTTACTTTGTGGAATCCAGTCGCAAGGTGAGCAAACACTGTGTTGAACTCACAACTATATAATTCAAATCACAGATGGCTAACAATCAGTCCAACAACATGATTTATGACCTGTGTTCCTCCTGAAGGCTTCGAGGGCAGATGGAACTGCAAATGGCCAAGTGCTTGGAGAAACTCGCAAACAGCTCAAAGAGGAAACTCAGCTCAGACTTGTAAGTAAAACATTAATGTAAAGCAAAGTAGAGTAAGACACCATGTTAGAAGTGCATGATTGTGATTTGTGTGTGTGCAGGATGTGGAGAAGGAGCTGGAGCTGCAGATCGGGATGAAGCAGGAGATGGAGTTGTCCATGAAGATGCTAGAGAAGGACATCTGTGAGAAACACGATGCTTTGGTGGAGCTCAGACAGCAGTTAGATGACGTGCGCACACTCAATCATGAGCTCTCCGTTAAGTCACAGGTAGGAAAAACACACTTACAGGTTTCTCACATGAAAGTTTTACAGAGGAGCGGCTTCTCAAGCTTCAACACTTTTTTTTATACATACAATATATTGAGTCGGGACTATAGTTGAGCAGGAGCCATAGTTGAAAACATGATTTATGGGGTCTTGGCCATACGTTTACTAAAAAGTTAATCATTTGCATGGGTCATTTGCATATTTTTTCTGTGTGCATTTCAGGTCAGTTTAAAGCATTCAGACACTAGAAAAATCAAATATTGCCATGTCAGTTACTTCAATTTATTATCTAGTAACTACTTGCTAGCTTGTAACTAAATTTGTTACTTTTGTTGCACCTCATGTTCTTAACGCAGTTAGTAAGTCATAAGCAGTCCATATGATAATGAATGAAGCTATACACAATCAGAAGCCATCCTGTTTCCCTTGTGAAATAAGAAAATAGCCTTAAATGTGCGTGAACAGAACACAAAGAAGTTATTAATATCCAAACATTAGGTGAAGTTTCATAAACTAATTTCGAGAAGAGCACATGATATGATTGAGCACGACTGGCTGCTCATCTGTAATCAGTAGTAATCTAATTAGATTAATCTAAGCTATATATATATTAATATATATTTAATATAATTATTAAATTAATATAAATTTTTTGAAACATTGATATATATATCCATCGCATCTCCTCAATTTTCCTCCCTTTTCTAAGGGGAGCTCTTGAGACCTACCTGATCTCAGATTACCTTATATGCTTATTGACTAGGCGGGAGCCTTGGGCCCAATTATCTCCAAGCTCAGTGTTCTCTCCTGGGCCAGCATACCAAACTTGCTAATAACAGCAAGCATATCTAAGTGGAAACTCTTGAAACTTGAAGTTAATTTAATAGTCTGCATATGGAAATGAAAATGAACAGGAAGAAAATTAAACTAGTTACCTAGTTTAACTAGTTTAACTAGTTTAACTTTCACTCTGTTGGTGCAACTGGACTTTCTGTTCATACATCTGAATCCTTGACAATATTAGTGCCACTTTTGTTTGAAAACGCAAAACTTTAACGTTCAGCCTGTTATTGGTGTGTGTTTGGCTTGTAGAGCTCAGAGAGCAGCGCAAAACAGAAGAGTGACATCATCGGCCGCTTGGAGGAGAAAACAAACCAGATGGGAAGCATCATTAAACAGCTGGAGAGCAGGTGAGAGATTCTGAATACATCAGCACAGCGTTTATTCATGACGCTATATTATGTAAGGTATTTAGGATACTAGTTTCATTTTATCATTTTTTTAATCAAAACTAATTTTAAACTATAAATAATTTTTAAGCTATATAATATATTATTATTATTGTTAAACATATTTTAAAATGTATGTTTAACATCAATTTGGACTATGTTTTGCTCTGTATAAAACGATTTCAATTGAATGTCATTAGTTTACCTCTGCTCTGTATGATCATAAAACATAAATTGTTGTTATGGTCATACAAAGCAGAGTAAATTCCTCCCTCAGATATTAAACCTTTTGATAATTGTTACATATTTACCTATTTTTAATAAGTAGCTCGAATAGTAGAAACATGGACAAATAGTAATTTTGTATGAAATTCTTCCTGATATTTCAGCTATTTTTAAATATATTTAAGAAAAGATTTGGTCAAGTGATTTTTACCAGATGTGGAATTGGTCAAACAAACTAACACATACATTTCTACTAAAAGATGAAGGTACTTGGTGCATGTTTTGTAATATAATTCATCTCTCTGGTAAACATTATGTTGGACTGTCCTTGTTTGTAAAATGTTTTTTATTGTTTTTTATTAAATAAACTCATTTAAATAGTTGTTAATTAAAATGTAAAAATTTTAATCACTATTAATTTTACATTTTAAAAAACCTATATTAATGTAAAAAGTCCATTGTAATACAGCTTGTGTTTGTTTTGATAATTTTTATATGTATTATTCTTTATAGTTTTTGCCATAAAGATACCCAATGAAGCTGACATGGTATCACATAAAACATAATATACAATACAATACAATACAATACTGAACAGAGGTAATCTGAATTTTTCTTGATATTGTTTTTATACAGTGTGATACAAAGTCCACATTGATGTTAAGGTAGTATATAAATAAATATAAATTAATGTATGACATACACAATCACACATGTAGAGCACGAATCAGAACCCTGATAAGTGAAGTCCACTTATTTCCTGTTTTTCCTACAAACAGTGCTGCCTCCCAACAATCTGTTTCTGCAATAACTTCTCTCTGTCTCTGCTGTCTTCTTTGTCAATCTTTTCTTCACCCTTACTTGTTTGTTTGATATTCTTCCATTCTATTCTTTTGTGTTTCCCCTCATTTTTCCCGAGCAGTGAGAAAGACATGGCTAAACAGGCACGAACCTTGAACACGGCTGCTGGAAAACTCCTTCAGAGGCAGCAATAAAACCATTGTTACCGGCAGATAATTTCCAAAAAAAGCCTAAATTAAAAACAAACAAAACAAAAAAAATCAGATCTTCAGTTTGATTTCGCATAACATAGACGACTAGGTATTTATTTTATTACTGGGTTTCAGATCCATTCATTGCCGTTGTTTTGTCTCGAAATCGGACTGAAAACTACAGCTCTTGCTTCTGTCACCCCTCAGTTTTCAACAATGTACACCTGAACCAGTGCTCCTGTCTTTAGTCTCCCTCTGTATGTTTTAGCCGAAATAAAATGCAGCTCTTTTGGTCAATCTTTGAATAAAGATGGCAGACTTGTACATTTTAAGTAATGGAAATGCATCTCTCTTACTTCTCAATACTGAAAAATAAGGCTTTTTTTTTTTCTTTTCTTTTTTTTTGTAAACTTGCTACAATAAGACAAACCACAAACCAGTTCAGCACGGCAAAAAGATTCCTAACAAAAACGTACAATCTATTTATACTCTGTGTAAAAGTATACAACACTATAAAACATGTCATTGGGTTAATTTAGGTTAATCTCCAAATTATTGGACCTGAATATTTGACTTGTTTATGTTTTATGACGTTGAAGCTTTGATGGAAGCTCAAGCTAAGCAAAGCAACCAAGTTTCTTTCTCTCTGGCATATTCAAGAGTTTATTTGTGGATGTTGAGTGCAGAAATGTTTGCTTGGATTATTTTACAGCTGGCAAACGTCATAAAATCTGAATTTGATGCCGTGGTAGATGATGCTAAAACTCAAAAGCTTTGGAAAGATGTTTGTGTCCCCGAGCTTCTGCGGAAAGGATGCTAAAATCCTCTAAATTGTGAACGAACTGACATTGTATGTAGACCATAATATAGATGTGAACTGTAGCAAAACATAGCTTAATAAAAAACCAATCAGACACTTGTCAGACTGATTTGCTTTCTTGAGCACCTCCAGTTTTCGTTTGTTTCCTCCTGTCTTCTCCAGCTTGTCTTTTGAGTTCATCCTTCATGTCTTCTTGGTGCTTTTTCTTATTTAATTCGTCTTCGTTTTTCCATGGCTTTTAGTTTTCATTTCACCTCATTAAGTTAATGTGGCCCAAATTCAGATGTAAGAAGGCGGAGCGAGAGCGGGATCTGGCGGACGAGGCCAATCGACTCTTCAAGCAGGAGTTTGGGGACAAGATTGAGAGTCTGCAGACGGAGGTGGAGCAGCTGCGGAGACAGAGGTGCTGAGATTTACTCACTGAACTTTTTGTTACTAATACTGGTCAGTGGACATGCCGTTTATTAAGCTTTACAAAACAAACAAGTATAGTAACATCAGATAATATGTTAAGCATCGAATTGACATGTATGAAAAATTATAATATTTTAAAGCACTTGTTAATCCAGGATAACTTCTTGTACACATACTATACAAGACTTCTACTGTGTACATGTTTTAGGGTCAATGTCATGTTTTAAATGGCTCCAGTTGTGCATTATAAAAGATTTTGGTTTTGGGGGTCTTATGTTTTGGTTTTAGGGACACTTTCCTTGTCTTATAATATGCATTTTAGGGTTGGGTCGATGGCCATCGCTGATTGCTGATAGACATCACGATGCTAAGCCGGCATTGCGATCCTCCGCCCTGCCCCATCGCAGCAGCATGACACATGACCCCATTTACACTAATATTTCTTAGTTTTAAAATGGCATTTTAGAATAAAAACGATCCACGTCCACGATGGCGTTTTACCTAGCATTTCTGAAAAGCCCTCCTTCCATACTATACCGCTGAAAACGCACACATCACATGACCACACACACACTCTGGCATGTAGTGCAGCATATGTGCACGTCTAAGCTCCAGGCAGTCAGTGGGTGCTTTGAGCACAAAACCCCAGAGAGCAGTGCACATCGGACAGTTTATCAAGGATGTACCGCTGGATCACCTCTCACTATAGTTGTTAAACGTGATATTTAATTAATTTTGTCTCTAACAACTCTTCTGTCTTTTAAATCTATCAAGTAACGTGTCACAGTGTCAGTTCACTGCCTCAATCTTTTACTTTTACGCTTGTACTTAGTCATTTTAGCAATTACCTCAGGAACTGTTGGCTGGATCCTGTTGGTTGTACACTTTTTTTTACCAACCAAGTTTGTCGACGCCATTATAACAGATCACTGCCTGTTCGAGTCCCGCGGAAAAAGTGATTGACAGGTGGTAATTTGTGTGTATCTTATCCTTATTTATTTATGATTTGTTTATAGTTAAAACAAAGACCATGCGATTCACGTAGTTGAAATGGTAGGCTACAACAAATTAATTTGTTATTAATTAATTCATTGTTCAATTAATTGTTCTATGCCATCGTCCATTGCGATGTTTCACATTTCACATCGTATGATGGCAAGTTGGTAGACATCGCCCAACCCTATTGCATTTATTTTTACCTAATTATCCCAACGACTTCCTCCTGATTTGTTCGGTGATTCATTTGTTCACCAAACCCCTCCTTTGCGTGAGGCTAAAACATGTCATTGGGTTACATGTGATTGGCACGATGACTCAGTCTGTTTAGATTAGTTGACTGCGTTCAGCACGAGACAGAGAGAAACGCCTACCACGGTCAAGAAGTAGTGAAGAGTGTGTGTGAGAGCCCAATGCAGAAATGCATTAAAGCAATGCAGTTAAACACCAGCATATTACTCTACTCTTAAACCTAACCCTAAGTAATAAGTACAACAAACATTCAGTATTAATTCACACTGTGGCAAAAGTTGAACTATTTTAAAAATTGACCACCTCACGCGTGCGAGGAACAGCTGATGGTGGCCAGAGCAACAAACAACAGGAGATCGCGAGCACAAAACACATATAAATCAGTAAATGAAGAAGCACGTGTCGCATTTTCAACATGGTTTTGGACGCAATATGTGAATAGCCCATACAGATTTAACCTGAGAGAGACATTACAAGCACCGATCTATAAAAGAGACATGATTACAAGCCGACCTGAGCGATTACAAGTTACAACACACAATTAAATACATATTTTGCAGACTTCAGAAAACGAGGCAATCATTTTAATCACTCTTCACAATGTTAGGAAGAAGAAACACTTTATGAATTTATACTAGTATTTATTTAATTAGTAAAAAGGGGATATTTACAAATGTATTAAAGTAATACATTTGAAATTAAAAAAAGACACCGGTTTACATAAAACTGTAGTAAATAATGAAATTTTATCATTGTGTTTATCATTAATAAAAGCATCTGCTAAGTGATTCAATTTAAGTGTAGAATATTAAGGAATGCTTAAGCACCAAGTCAGCATTAATAGCATTAATTGTTTGTGTTTTATAACCATGAAAATGTATTATAGAATTTGTTACTGTACTTCTAATAAAATAAATGAAAAATGTGATGGCTATATATTAAAAAAAATAAATAAATAAATCAAACGTACCTTAGTATATTATTAAGTCTTAAAGGGATATTCACCCAAAAATGAAAATTCTTTCACCATGACCTTTACCCTTCATTTGTTTTAAAACTTTTCTTTTGCTGAACACAGATAGAGATATTTTGAAGAAATCTGGAAACCTGTAACTATTGGTATCTTGTTTTTCTACTGTGGAAGTCAGCTTTCTTCAAAATATCTTAATTAATATTAATTTATGGTAGGATGCGTTCACACTTGGTCCTACCCTGTACAGATACTTTCCAATAAAAGTGAACCAAATAAGATAAATTGTGTCTATGTGAACCAATTGTGAAGTGAACATTTTCTATTTTAGTTTTCTTATTGCAAGTGGCATGAACATAAATAGAAAAATAAACAAGCAAACATAAACAGGAATGTAAAATGTGTGGCTGATATTTACGCCAGTCTCCTGAACCCTATACTTAAAGCACACATGTGGTCATTATCGGGTATTTTTCGGCCACTGCTACTGTGTAAAATGCAGACATGTGCTTGTGAAAGTGAAAGAGTCTTTCTCTCTGTGTGATAGGTGGATTTTGGAACAAGAGCTGAAGAAAGGCAGAGATCATCCTGGAGTCCAAACACCTGAAACTCTGCTGGGAAAAACACCTCCGCAGCAGAGAGACAGCAAACAACACATCGAGGACATCAGAAAGGTGAAGCTCTTTCAAATTTCACTGAATTCACTGAATTTTCACATTAAGATACTTTCTCTGCATAAGTGTAGTTTTCTGAAATGCATACGTTTTTATATAGGAGTTAGAGTCTGTCAAAAAGGAAAATGATACACTGCGCACTGCACTAGAGGAAAAGACGAGTCTGAGTTCCAGTTTGTAAGTTTATCTTAAACACTGAAACCTTTGTGTTAAGCTGTATTAATGAACTGCAGTGTTATTGAAATAATCTTAAAACTGTTTTTCTTAGGACACTGTCACATGAAGATGAACAGGTACGCTACATTTTATTAATCTGTGAGGTTTGCTCCAGTATTCTTATTGTTCTTTTCATGAATTCATGAAGTTTCCTTTTGTTTGTTAGAACCAGTCTCTTTGTAAAGAGGTTGACCCTTCAATCTGCACAATGTGTGAAAACCAAGACTCACTGACTTCACCCAAGGTACCAGAGTGATCTAACACTTTTTATTTTTTTGAGAAAGAGAAAAATTTATAATTCATATTTACTTAAAGGGCACCTGTTTTACCCCCCTTTTCAGGCTTTAGGTTAAGTCTTTTGTGTCTCCAGAATTTGTCTGTAAAGTTTCAGCTCAACACCCATCAGGTTATTTATTTTACCTTTCTAAATCTGGGAAATTTGAGCTGTTAAGACATTGCAGGTGTCTTTAATGCAACTGAGCGGGTTCTCCCCGTCCACCGTTACCACGTGCGTGTCAGAGCCAATGAGCTCACTCTGATGGATTTAGCCTTCACCTGCTGCATCTCTCGTAGATAGTTGGTACAGTGACAGACAAGAATGAAGCAGGTCTCCCATATCACAGTAAGAACTTTCCCAATGATTATTTGATATATTATGGTTCTTCGTTGTTAATTCAAGGCCTTCTGCAGTCACAATGTGTGTCATTATGCACGCACACATACACACACGTTTAGCTTTGCATGGTTTTTGCACAGCAAATGTGACAGAATTCACATTAATATTCACTGCTGTATAGATATCCATTATATTAATGTACAAAATAAACCTGATTTAATGTCCACAAATCGGATTGAAGCATCTTATTCTATAATCATACTGACGTGCAGCTGTGGTGATAAATTTTACAATTTTACTGTCTTTTCTTTATTACAAACATGCACTGTTTTAAAATCATCTTGATGAGACGGCATTTCAAATCGAGGTTCTACGTTCGTTTTGTCTTATCAGGTTTGTTGTATTAAATGTAGCCTTTCCACCTCTTGCAATGCCAAGTTTACATATCAGAATGTTGGCAATGGCAATGTTGTCATCATCAACTTTATAATACCTCCAGACCGCAGACATACTCAGACACAGAGTCCTGATGTGACGCCTGATTCCTATCGAGTCTGAAAACGTGTGGTCGGGCCTGATTTCTGATCACATGATCAGATCTGAACACCTCTATTGTAAACCTAATTGAACATAGGTGAAGTGAAGTGTGTGTGCTGGGGACAGGGAGTTACACAACAATTATTATTTAAAGATTTTGTGTTTTTTTTTTATTTTTTTATTAAATGCTACTCAATTTTAAATAATTTTTTTTTTCAAATGTTTCTTAAGCATCAAGTCACTGAAAACTGTAATGGTGTAATGTTAGAATTCACTTTTATATTACTATATGATATTATTATTTTACATAACTGCAGTACACCCCACACAAATCTCTTTTAAATTCATATTTTTAATAGGAAGCTATACAATATTATATTTGTGCATATACAATAGATTAGACAGTAGCTACTGAAGCCAAATCTGGAGCCATAACAAAATAACTTATGATAAGTCAAAAACTAGTACACCCAAATTTGTTATAAAAAATTAAATAAAAATTTTAAAAGGAGGCAAAGAGAATCAAGAGAAGCAACAAATAATTGAAAAATTGAGTTGAAAATTTGTAGGTTGTATTTTTTTTGCAATACTTTGCTTGAATTTAATTGTATTATCTTTCAGTTTCTAAATATGTTGGTGACTAAATTATTATTTTCATAAATATTTGTTTAATAAATCGATTTTGTTTAAATGCAGCTATATTCACTGAGAAATGGATAAAAATATTCATTTTCAAAATGGGGTGTACTCTATCATGCTGAGCTCTGTATATACATTTTTTTAATGTACTGTATACAGCACAACATAATTAATAAATATATTAACACTGTTGCTACTGCATTTACAGTTAGAGTAACAAAGTGGACAGCATGAAAATTGTGAAGAAGAATAGTTTTAGTGTGTTACAGCTTGTCTTGTTCACCCTTTCAGAGTCAGTGCAAGAACTGCAGCGGTGTGTTCTGTGAGAACTGCATGGCGAATGAACTGCCTCTGCCCTCGTCCATCAACCCCGAGCACGTGTGTGATGTCTGCTACTCTCAGCTCCTGGAGCAGTACTCGTCCTCCCCATCCTGAGACACACAGCGCATGTAAATAGTGCAATACAAAAAACTACACCTCACACTCTGGATCATCTCAGCTGTAAAGCATATCAGAAACGATTTGCCAAAAGGGAATTTTTTACAAGCTCCTTGTTGGAAATGCTTTAGAGATTATTTTATTATGACCTATTATTCTTGAGGATTAGTGAAACTGTCCACCAAGTGGATGTATTTGGCTTTTTTGTACTTGAATCGCCTCGGTATCATTCAGTAATGCAAGTAGGAGGATTTCATTGGCATCTTAATCATTATGAGATGACTAATTGTAGACAGAAACATGTTTTCAGCTTTTTGGAAAAGAAGGCACTGAACAAATCACACACATACAGTGACACTTTGTTAAATCCAACATTCTTAAATTGTTAAAAAAAAAAAAAGAGCAGAAACTGCACATTTTGAAACTTTTATAGGGAAGAGTAAATTATCCTGTATTATAATGTTGAAATAAATGTATAAAAAATAAAGACATGAAAAGTGGTTAAAAGCCTGTATGTATTTTCTTAGCTAAAAATCACATTTTAACTGTTCATTCCAAGCCGATATTATTCACGCAAACTGTAAATGCATGAAGACAAAGAGCAGCAATGTTGGATTATGCAGATGTTCACATCGGGAACTGTCTGGATCCAATCTCTTTACCTGCCTATATGGTATTTAAAACTGGCGCTAGAGTACCCTTACAAAAATAACTACAGTACAACAGCAGTATATAGTAGTATAACTGCAATAAAATAAAGTACAATTGCAAAATTGCAATTCATTGAAGTATAAACACAGTTCAAATACAGTACAATAAATTTCAACAGCAGAATAAGCTGCAGTAAACAGGACTAAAAACAAGTAAATGCCATCTTTACTGCACTTGTACTGCTGTAGTCTAATATGCCAATAGTGTGATAAGATCTGTACTGCACTTGTGTTCCAAGGGGTTTGTTGTTCAACATCTTCCAAGAATATTTGTACTTTTTTCAGGGATGTTTTTTTTGGATAAAAGTGGTTTTCTATTTAGAGTTTATTTTCAAAAATAAATAATACAAAATAACTGCTGTGAATTGAACAGTACAACAGCAGTTGCCTAAATACAAGGATAACAGTGGTTTAATCAATGTAACTGCAAAATTGCCGTATAATGAAGTGAAAACACAGTTCAACTATAATGCAATAAAGTTCAACAGCAGTAAAATCTACAGTTCAACTGAAGTAACATTAAATATTCTGAGAGGGGCATTATAGTAATAATGTTATATAATGCTTTCCAATTAGCTACATCAGTATTAAAAGTGCACTTTTGTTTTATGTTTTGCAGAATTGTAGATGTTTTTCTGTAGTTAGTTATACTTCTGAAAAGTGCACTACAATATATCGTGGTAGTATTTCAGCAAAACAACTGAGGTAACTGAAAGCTCATTTGGAAACCACTGTCCACCGAGGAGGAAAAGTAGTAGCTGTACTGCAGTTGTATTGTAGAAGCACTTCAGTTGCACTGTTGTGCAGTACTGCATTATAGTCAATTATAGTATTATAGTTGTCATACTTCAGGACCATTACAGTAGTTATAGTAGTAGTATCACTTCAGCTGTATTGCAGTAGTTGTACTGCAGTTGTTTGTATTGTAGTACTTTAGTTGTATTGTAATACTGCAATATACTTAAATAAGTTTTTTCGTGTCCAAAAAAAAAAAAACTTCTAACTTCTAGGGACTTCTAATACTTAACAGCCGCGATTATTAAATAACTGTCTAATAGTGGTTATTGTATTACCATGATTGTTTCAGCTAACATCGATCACTGCAATTATTTTAAGAGCCATAAGGGTAGACTTAAAGCAGAATACAGACGCACCATTACAAACACTTGCAGTTCACTTTCAAATGCGCAGTAACGAGAGACTGTGTGTGTAAATCGCATTTGTGCACCGTCTTCCAACAAACAACTAGTTTACACTTCAAACACCTGCTTTGTGTTTAGAAAGTAGCAATGAATAGCTAACGTTAGCAGCAAATCTCTCTAAAATGCTTTTTCTGTGCGTGTTACATATACTGGAAGTCATTTTGGGTGTTTGGGCCAATGCAGTAAATTACTTGAATATTTAAAGGTGCAAACATATGCAGGACCAGGAGTGCCAGTTGGAAATAAAACAAAGAATCAAATTATAAGTTTAAATTGGTCTATTTATTTGTCTATTATTTGTTTCTTTTGAAATTGTGATTTATTTATATACGTTTTATGCTTCAATTATTAAATTGATCATTTAATTCTTTATTTTATTTTTAACTGGCACTCTTGGGCCTGACCGTTTATAATTCTTTAATAATTAAAATAAAACCTCCATAAAGAAATAAAATGTATGTCGATTTATGCAAATCATTCATTTTCTTTTCAGCTTAGTCCCTTTTTTAATCAGGGGTTGCCACAGCGCAAATGGCATGATCAGTTATTTCTTAGATAATATATCATCAGCCATATTTCATAGTCATGACAGCCCTATCTGATACTCAGATTTGCTTAAAAAAAATCAGTATTGAAAATTTTCTGTAAGGTTGGCAGATGAAGCCATGGAGGAGAAGCAAGCAAAAGTGATGCAGAAATGGTCAGGTTTTATTGACTCATTTCTGAACTTCGTCCCTATTTTATCTTAGGGTTTCTGCAGGTTTCACAGAGTTAAATTTAACATTTTTAAGACCATTATGAATGAAATTTTAGACCCATAAAAGGTTGAGGCTAAGGAATTTTTCAAATGGCTTAGATGGAAAAGATTTTTTATTTGCCCTACCGACAAAAAATATTATAATTTGATATTACAATAATACATTAATAACAAAAAAAAAAAAATTTATTTCTTAGCTAAATATTTTAAATGTTGTGTAAAATAAGCAAGCTCTACTTGTATCCATACAATCTATTTGTTTTTCCATCATACACTTTCTTTTAAATAATAAAAAAATGAACAAATACATTTTAAAAAGTTTTAAAATCTATAATAAACAATCTATGCACAGCAATCTGTCCAGGTTGGTGTCATCAGCAGTAAATACACGGAGAGCATTCAAATGTTACTGTAAGGAAAATAATTAAACCATTATAATAAATAGAGTTGAAAAATACCCTTATAAATAAAACGTTTAATTGAGATGACTGCATGGGTTTTGGCCAGATCTGGTAGCAATACATGAACAAAGGAACATTCAGACCTGTTTAAAAAGATTTAAGAGCTACAACACAGTATTTCAGTAAATTTAAGACTTTTTAAGGCCTAAAATTTGGATTTTGAGATTTAAGACATTAAGACCCTGCAGAAACCTTGTATCTGGACTTTGTACCTAATGGACTTCGTCAGAGCTGCACAAATCTAACAAATTCTATCAAATCAATGAGAAAACGTCATCTTGCTTCACTCATCTTGCCACATTAAAAACTTAATTAAGAAACTGTCAAGACCCTTTAATGGTTTGACATGCCTCTGCAACAGAGACAAAAACGTGTAAATCTGAATAGTTTGAAGGCTTCCACAAATAGTTATTATGGAAAAGTTAAAAAACACCACATCTACTCCCGTCTCCTTTTTTTTAACATTGCTGGTCAGACATAATGTAAAAAAATCAGGCAACATTTGTAGAGTCCGCTTTTAATGTTGGTTCTTGCAATGTACATGATACACTGGGTTAATTTGTAGCAGATTGGGATGCAGTGCATTTAAATATGGTGTCCTTTCATCTTATCGTTCTTCGCTGGGTGGACATGAATTCAGGTACAACTCAATATATCGCTCCACTGGACAGAAACAAAAACAAAGAAACAAAACACATCAAGTTAAACATCACTTCATGTTTGATGTGTAAAACATTTGGGTCATTGGAGGAGTCTTTGCTTACTTATGAACTCTCTGTCTTTGGACATGGCTAAAACGGCGTCTTCATGTGTTTTGAAATAAGCCTCTGCTTCACCGGTGGGTTTTCCTTCAGGACCAAACTCTACAACAACCTTCATAAGTCGGACAGGAGCGAAAAACTGCAAAAAAAATGACACCCCTAGTCATTCAGGGTTTATATAACGGATAAGATTAATTAATCTGTCAGGCAGTAATATACTGGTTTAATGTCATTTCAAATATAATGATGCCAAAATTAAAGCTAACTAGTGTTTGTACTGTGCTTTGAATTGTTAACACCAAATTTCCACACTGGGTAAGTATGCTCTAGGCATGGGCTGGTATGAGATTCTGACGGTATAATAACCTTGATTAAAAAGATCACTGTTTCATGGTATTGTACTTACTGCTCTAAAATATGATATTTTCCTAACTGTCATTAAACACAATATACTATATTTTAGGAAACATGGAAAGTATTTTGGAACAGTAAACATGTCATTAACAGTGAATGTGCGCCATCAAAATACAGTATTTTTTAATTTGCTGCAAATTGAAACAATTAAGCGCAAAACATGGATTTTTTTTTTTCTGCCTGGAGGAAGAAAACACAATCCAAGAAGCTGGCAGCTGCAAGGTGTGTGCAAATGCTCTTATGTTTTTAAAAATACTTTTATATTCTTGGTTTATTATTAAAAATACAATAAGTAAATAAAACTAAATTTGTTTTTGTGCATCAATTAATGTCGTGCGGTTAAAGGCTAAAAAACTAAATGAAGAAAAAAAGAAAAAAAACTAACATATACCGTAGGAACAGTATGACAGAAAGATTTGGCAGTTTCAAAACCTTGACTTTTTCAAACTCCGGTACACCTTGAAACTGTATATCGTCCCACGCCTAGTGTGCTCTGCGTTTTTTTATGATTAAAATCTTCTACTTCTTAGCAAGTAAAAGCATGAACATGCTGGAGAGCTGCTTTAAAGCAATGAAGTTTCAATTCTAATTAAAAAAATACTAGGACTGTCTTCTCATATATAATGCCGTTTGTTTTAAAACAATCTGCTATATTAATTTCTAAATATATGAATGCCACTCAGTTGGTATGTTAAATCATAGAGCCGTGTCAAACATGACTATATTACTAAAATAAGATGTTTTCTTTGCCGTTTTCTCACTAGAGAAACTTTACAACAGGATCTCAGCATGATTAAATGTATCTTGACCAAATGCAAATGAAGAGCAAACAAAAGTACCTTCAAAAATGAATTACCTTTACAATGTCCTCTGCTTTTGCATCAAACGGCAGACCTCTCATGTGAATGACATTCTTTGTAACTGCACAGAAAAAGAAACTCAGACTTGCCAGAACTACTCATGATGTGTATTGAATGTTTGCAAATGAATGGGCACTGTAATAAACACCTGTTGTATTTCTGAGTGGAGGGTCCTCAGCTCTTGGTGTGAAAACTCTGTCATTTTGCCAGCTTCTATTTTGGGACGGGATGGCACTTTTCATGGCTGGGAAGATCTCAATATACCTACACATGAGAGGAGAAAAACACAGACCCAACATGTTTAAATACATATCAAATCTTTCAAATTTTGGTTTTG